ACCGGCCGTTTCGCCTACAAGTCGTTTCGCCCACATACACTCAGCTAGGTCGCCTACACTCCCTTCGAGTGTGCAGCCTATTACTAGAAGTTTTTCATTGAGAGGGAAAGTGCTGCCGTTAGATGCCATGCGAATAGGACAATCAAGACGGGTGTCTAGAAAACGAAGACCTACGACCTAGAAAACGACGACCTAGAAAACAACGACCTAGAAAACGACGACCTAGAAAACGACGACCTAAAAAAAACCGGGGGGAGTAGGGGACATTCGGGAGCAAATTTGAATGCGGAAAGAAAACTTCCCGATGATAATTTTCGAAAATTTGCGTATACATTGCGAAAATGCTGTTCCATACGGTACTGCATGGAAGTTGCCGAAAATTTAAACCAGACGTTTTGATTGAATGGAATGGCGCCCATGCAAAGGTAACCAAATTTGTTACCAATTGTGCTCCCTTTTTTAATTTGCGCGAGGGCGTGAGAGCTCCACTAAAAACAGGTTCTCAAGTCAAATTTTCCATTAGTATGGTCAATGAAGTCATGATTCAACTTGACTGACTACTGGAAGCAAAAGCTTTGCTTTGACCTATTTATTATCCTGATATCAATTTAAACAAATTTGCATCAAATCTAAATGACCTACATAATATACACTGCTTCACTGGCTCGTCGTTTATAGCGGTACGTTCAAGCCCACATAAATCAAACAGGAAATAAATCAGACGTGCCGTTTTTGTGTTCACAGCTCAATACCGTAAACAAACAGTTTATATTTTGAAAATAAAGAAAGAAGGGCTTCAACATTTTCCAGTACCTTTCCATACATGAAACGGCAGCATACCGATAACGAGAATTGTGAAATCATGATATTGTGTGGGACACAATGAAGGTTGACATGCCCAGTGGCCCCACTGACATATTTTAATGACGGGGGTGGGGGGTTGGGGGTCCGAAGGATTTTTTTGGGTCTGACATTTTGGCCAAAAGGGATTTTTCTGGGTCTATGAAAGACGCCGGGATTTTTTTGGGTCGCGAAAACAACACAGGGATTTTTTGGGGTATTGTATTTTTCATCTGCTCAAATCAACAATACTAAGCGCAATTTACTACTTGTGTGGCATTACGGGATATTTCTGAGATTGTAATCTATTTGAAAAGTAATTACCGGCACTCTAATCCAGAGAGCAATATTCAATAGGTCACGTAATTTAGGCCTTTCAAGCCAGTCATCAAGACCACAATTACCCTGGGTTCCAGAGGATATTTTTTTCTTATCGATACTGATGGTTCGCGGCGAAGCCGTGTTAACGAGGCGCAAAGCGCCGAGGAGAAAAAAATAACCTCTGGTCACCGAAGTACGCAACCTCATTTCCATGCGAGAAATCAGTTCAGAATTTGAACTGGGTCACCGATTGGATACTCCCATGTCCGCAGGGAATTAACAATATAATAATGGCCCTGATTGGCTACATCGAACAACTTCACTGCGTGGGATTAAAAAACCGGTTTCTCAGGAAGATCGTGTCGCGTTCCAAGACAACAATGTCAACAATGGAGGAAGAAGATAACTTCTCGCGTTCGTCCAGAAATGCTGTTCATCACGCTTTAAGTTCTAAATTTGAGAACGTGAGACAGCTGAAGCCTGTTCAGGAAGAAGCACTGTTGCAGTTTATTCGCCGAAAGGACGTATTTTGTGTCCTTCCTACTGGTTGTGGGAAATCGTTGATTTTTCAACTGGTCCCGTTGGTATGTGCGTATTTACACAATGAAAAGTTTAATTATCCTGAGAAACCCATACTGTTGGTGATATACCCTCTCAGTGCCCTGGTGGAGTCACACATCCAAGAGCTTGCCAACTATGGTATTTTGTCTTGCTATCTTGGGGATGATGGCCTCATAGAGGAAGAAATTTCACAGCATTCATCAATTTTTTCGATGTCCCTTTTACACTTTAAACAAAGATGAGAAGAAAGACCATTCTCTCTCGTCACTTCAAATCCCAGCACTTGCGATAATCGCCCTGCAACGTTGTTCTCCAAGAATGTTTTTCCTTCGAACAGATGGAAACGGGCACAGCCTGAAATAGCGATATTAACATTGCAAACACGACAAAAATCACCCACAGATGTCCGCAAAATTTTAACCGGGGTTCGGGAAAATGTGGCGAAAACCGCCATCGAAACAATGTTTTCGCGCAATTATATTTTTACGCATCGTGCAATCAGATGTCAGCTGTCAGATTTAACATGTTTAATGAAAACAAACATGCAGACCATCCCACGGGGCCCAAAACCGGTTTGATGAGATATTTGATCCGGAAATTACATGGAAATGAGGTTGCGTACTCCTGTGACCAGAGGTTATTTTTTTCTCCTCGGCGCCTTTTTTTGCGTTAACGCGGCTTCAGTATCGATAAGAAAAAAATATCCTCTGGAACCCAGGGTAGACCACAATGGAAACACTGTATACAAAGTAAACATTTTATGAATTAGATGTTTACCCGCTGATATATAACTATTATCAAATGATCACGTTGCTATGTAAAAATAAAGGCAAGGAAAACTGATTTTGTAAACTAAACTCAAACCGGGAGTCAATGCTGTTGAGTTCCAGCAAGAGCTAAGAGGTCCAGTCAGCTGTGATCCCATTTTTGTTGTATGAAGAAGTTCTCTTGAAAATATTAGTAACATAACATCAAGCTTGCCAAAGTGGTTTATGAACCCATACAAAGATGTGTCGCTGACTCAGTTATTTCAGAAGATAAATAATAAAATTTGCTGATGCAAAAACACTGAGGGATTTTTTTGGGTATGCTAACAAAAGTAGGTATTTTTTTGGGTAGACAAATTCTGAAGTTGGGATTTTTTTGGGTATAAAATATGAACCTCTGTCGGATCCCCCCCCCCCGCCCCCGTCATTAAAATATGTGAGTGGGGTTGACATGTCATTAGATTTGAACTGTATTTAAACTGTAAGATTTGAATCGTATCATCCTAGGAGTTTCTCTTTCCTCACAGGTCCGATAGCGTGGTATATATGCAGTGAGATCTCCGGTAGAACTTTTGAATTGTTCAGAAATAAATTATTACATCATGTGAAATAGAGACAACGCTGCAGAGCAAAATTAAAAATTTAACTTCGGTTCATCTTTAATTCTTCCATCACTTTCACGCAATGCACAATGCAATGTCCAAGACAAAGCAATAGCTCCTGCGACCACACTAGGCACTCTGTAACTGCTGTTTAAAAATGCGAGAGACGGTTTTATAAACCGCGTTATGAAAATAACGCAAGAACAATAGATGTAGGTATCTCGCGGGGTACATGTAACGAAGTTTACGTTAATGAATAAATCAATCGAGCTTTTCCGCCTAAACGTGAAAATTTCCCAAATTTTGACTTTTAGAAATACTTCGTTCCCCAAACCTCTTTTTATTAACACACTCCGGGATCGCTCATGAAACAAACCCGATATACTTTTAATAAGTAAACACCAAGAGAGGTTATCCTCTCTTGGTAAACACTTTATTGTCCACCACCCCACCCCGTTCTAGAGGGGGAGGGTGTTTCCTTAGGAACTGGTTAGCTCAAATGACCACCAAGCTTTATTAATTATTCGATCTAAGAGAAATACATTTATAATTCGCAATCAGAACAAACGCAAATCGTCTTAATCTAGTAGCTAAATTCAGAAAACTTCAATGTTAACTTACTTCTGTGGTCAGGCCCGGCCAGGGGTTTTGGGTATACGGTATCCCGGGCCATTTTAATTCAGGTATATGGTATTTTTTGGTCAAAATTCGGGTATAAAGTATTCAGTTTTTCCTGAATTTTAGGTATTCGGTATATGGTACAGACATCACACGTATAATTCATTTCTCAGTTTTGTTATCGCTCTAATGCTCACTAAAAATCGTGCGGATGCTCGAAATTGATACTGTTTGGCTTCCTATCCCAGTCCCCCACCCCCACCACATCCCCAATCGCAAAACGAAGCTCATCCTTCTCACGTTAAGTCGGATTGGGAACCACCAGTCCAGCCATCTGTAAATCGGAGACCTTCCTAGGGGAGGTAAAATTAGAGCTCGCAATTATAGAATTTGACAAGCCAAAAAATAATATGTCTACGGGAGAGCGCCAAGCTCTCAGAGAGTTATCGCGCAACAAAAGCATTATTCTTAAGAAATCTGATAAAGGTAACACTACCGTATTGATGAGCAGACAAGACAAACTAAACGAAGGTCAGGCTCTGCTCAATGATTTAAATAACTACTAGACAAACCAATGGTTGAAACTACAACCAAAAAAGCTCAACAACTTATTAAAACACTGCTCTCAGAAGGCCACATTGATAAGACGACGGCTAAATGGCTCCCTTACGCCTGATCCTCCGCGAATCCCAGTGTTTCACTCACTTACTAAAATCCACAAACCGATACCTATCTGAAGACCTATCATCTCAGGGTGTTCCGGACCCGGGTTCCGGACCTACAGAGCAGATCTCAGCATTTGTTGACCACCGTATTCAGCCAATAGCACAACTCCAAGCTTCGTATCTTAAAGATACGAAAGACTTTATTTACTTCATCGAGAGGATTAAACTGCCTAAAAGTGCCATACTTGTTTCAATGGACGTCACAAGCCTATACACAAACATACCACAACGAGAGGGTTTTACTACTGTATGCTATGCATAAGAAGAATTCCATCAAGGAAACCCTCCAGTGCCTACCAGGTTTTTAAGCGAAATGCCCAGTCTGATAGTACTAGAAAACTCGTTCCAATTTAACGAGATCTAGAAAGATTATCTTCAAACCCATGGAACAGCCATGGGCACGAAAATGGCCGTAGCCTTTGCTAACATCTTCAGGGCCAAAAAAGAAAAAGAAATACTCAAACAGAGCAGCATTAAGCCCATCGATCTTTTGGAAAAGTTTATCGATGACATCATATCAGTATGGGACAGTTGCTTCCTGTTCTGTTCTTCTACTATTCCAAAGGCAAACAACTTCCATCCTACAATCAAATTCACGGCTGAAATATCAGAAACAGAAACTACATTTTTGGACACGAAAGTGTACAATGGTGTCAGATTCAACAAGGATTCTATCCTTGAGGTGCGAACACACTTCAAGCCTACAGGGAAATTCCAACACACGAATTTCTATTCGTGTCACCCACCAGGCGTCACAAAAGGCTTCATCAATGGAGATTAGCTTAAGGCTTCTAAGAACAAATTCCTCTGAAATCACTTTTGAAGAGAACATGAGGAATTTTTTTCAACACGCCTAAAGAATAGAGATTACCCAGCTACAACTGTAGAAAAACCTCTCTCAGAGGTCTTTTTCGCAAACAGAAAGAAATCACTAGAACAGAGACACAAAAATGCAAGTAAGAAAATACTACCCTTTCATGCCCTTTGTAACGCAATACCCCTGCGTTGCCCAACCTCAAGAACATACTCATCTGGAAATGGCACCTTATACAGAACCAACCATACCTGAGAAACATCTTTAAGGAGCCTCCCCTCATTTCATATCGCAAAGGAAAATCCCTAAAAGACACTCAAGTAAGATCTAAAATATAAAGGTTTTAAGACCAATCTATTTGCGAACTGCAGGAGTCGTGCAGGCCTGTCAACACTTTTAAACTCTGTTCATTTTCAGGTATTTAGTGTTCTGTTTCAAAATAATTTTAGGTATTTAGTATCACACATTTTACGATTTTGAGGTATATTGGTATCTTGGGGGCAAAATAGTGGGTATATTGGTATCCCACTACCCCCCCTGGCCGGGCCTGTGTGGTGGGTCGTTACAACAATCGCACTTTACAGGTTAGCAAATTCTTTTAACAGATTCTTTAGGTAAGCGGATTTATAGACAGACTGTAAATTATTTTCTTTCTCACTTCGATTCTACTGAAAAACTGGTTTGAAACACAATAAGCTAATATAATTCTTGTCATCAAATAAATCTATCCAAGAACAAACAGGCAATGTTTGTTTGATAAAAGAAACAGAGGGGAGATCTCTTGTACCTTGCATTTCCATTTCCACCGTTTTATTCCTTGGCTTCATACCCTTAGACGGTACAAATAATATTTACTATTTTTCTAAAATTTTCCTTCTTCGCCCACCTCTCACCCCTTCATAATTCCCTCCTATCGTCCTCTTATTTCCCGCCCTCTGTAACCCTCTAACCCCTTAATCCTCCGAGCTATCCCATCACTGTCGTCGTTTTCTAGGTCGTCGTTTTCTAGGTCGTTGTTTTCTAGGTCGTCGTTTTCTAGGTCGTAGGTCTTCGTTTTCTAGGTCGTCGTTTTCTAGACACCCAATCAAGACAGTATGTAGAACAGTTGAACATTTGAATTTTTTTATTAAAGTCGATAACTTAGACTTGTTAAAATTATGAAACACTCAGCTGAAGCGAAATGTAATAAGTGAACCGATCACAATGACCCTGTGACATATCATTTGTGGGAAACTGAACGTCTTTGGCCAACAATGCTCTTTTAGGTAAATATTAAGCTATATATGAAAGTGTATCATTGCTGGTCAGTATTTTGTTGTTTATTTAAGTGAGAACTATCTCTTTCATGCCTCATAACAGCTTAATAAACTGAATTTCAGTAACATCGGTAATATCATTTTTGGAAAACTCCACGTCTTTGATCAAGAATGGTGTAAGGGAAATAGTAATTTAGGCTACATATGGTGGCCGTATAATTTGGTTAGTGTAAACAATCTTTTTTCACACCCTGTAACAGCTTAATAAACCTAATCTGAGTAATATCAGTGATATTTTGTAGTCTATTTGTGGAGAACTCAACGTCTTTGATCAAGAAAAGTCTTATAGTAAATACTAAGCTACATATTAGGCTGTATAATTGTGGTTAGAATTTTGTTGTTTTCCCTTGAGAACGAGTGAGAAGAATCTCTTTCAAGGCCTGCGACAGCTTAATACAGTTAATATCAGTAATATCACTAATATCATTTGTGGAGAACTCAACAGGTTTGTCGAAAAATGGTCTTAAGGTGAATAGTGAGCTGCAGATGAAGCTTTATGAGCAGTTTGTTGTTGTTAAAGTAACTTAGAACTTCATCTTTCGCGCCCTGTAATAGCTTCATCAACCGACTGTCGGTATCATTAGTGATATCTTAGTGGAAAACTCAACATGGGCTTAAAGTATGAAGTAAACTAAATGTAGGGTTGGGTAATTCTGGTGACTGCTTTGTTTTTCTTGTTATACGTCACCACTATCTCTTTTAAGCTCACAGTGTAATAGGTTAACCACGTCAACTTTGGTGACATCAGTCATAGCATTTGAGGAAAACAGCAATGTGATTACTTTGTCAAAAAGTGTAAGGGAGAGGGTTCTCTCCCTTGCTCCGAGAGATTTTCTCCGTGTACTCCGGTTTTCCCCTCTCCTTAAAAACCAACATTTCCAAATTCCAATTCGACCAGGAATCAGGTAGACGAAGAACCACTATGTGGATGTGTTACCTGCAAATCGTTATTTATTTTATTTCTTTATTTATTTTTCATTATTATTTTAACTTCACTGTGGTTCGTACAATGTCACAGAAACAAAGTCGAGGGAAACATCAGGACTCTCTGGAAAACAAAACTAATTGTTTCCCCTTGGATCTGACCTTAAAATACAAAAATGTTTTTACGTTACCCGTGAGTTTTATAGGTTCTTACACTGACGATGAGCCAGATTTTCCTCGGCGAAATAATCTAATTTTGCAGGAAAAGGGTGTCTGGCATAGACAAGGTAGTGAATTTCAAGGACTTTTCAAGACCTAATAAAGAAATGAAGTACTTTTCAAGGACCTTAACTGAATTCGAGGACTTTCAAGACGACTACTAAAATTGAAGAGCTTTTCAAGATTGTATGAACCATGTTTACTAACCTTCACTGCTTGTTGCTTTAGATTTTGCTTCAGAATTTGTCTACCCCATGTGCTTGACTGTACCGTAAAGTACGGAAAATACATTAAGGCAGGTACAAAAGTCGGACCAGTCAACTCGGACCGCCAGTCCGGGTCGGATCAACTCGGATCTACTCGGACCAACTCGGATCGAATAAAAAAATAAAAATAAAATACAATTGGACTCGGATCAACTCGGATCATAAAAAGAAAACAACTCGGATTTTAAAAAGAAAAATAAAATCAGTCGGTATCACTCAACTTTCACCCGCCATTTTGTTTTGTTGTCACGAACTCGTGGTTGCGTAAATTAATTTTATTTTTATTTTTATTAATTTTAATGATACGCTAGTGAGCAGCACATATACACGTACAGTGAACATTTTCAACTTGGAAGGAGAAGAAATCATGCTCGCCCGGGACAACAAAAATTTTGGTACCCAAGGCGAGAATTGAACTCACGACCCTCCGAATACTACATGTTTATCGGACGTTCCAACCACTGAACCGGAGGGTCGCGAGTTCGATTCTTGCCGGGTGCATGGAAATTTCCTTTATCTCGGGCGAGCATGGTTTCTCCTCCTTCCAAGTTGAAAATGTTCACTGGAAATGTATGTGTGCTGCTCACTAGTGTATCATTAAAATTAAGTTTCAGAAGCCATATCTGTGAAGCAGAGCGCGTCGTGTAACGCAACCTATAACATGATCCGAGAGGAACTGGCACTAGTAAAACAAAATGGCGCCTAAAAGCCACGGAGAAAACATAGGCACGTTAAACGTGCGTGAGCTATTTTGAACGCTTCATTGTAACTTAAATGCTTCAGTGTAACCTTACCAAGAGTGATGAATCGACCTTTTTCGTCCTAAATGTAGACTGGATTTTTGTGCGACATTGGGTATTGCTGTATATAAATGAAAACGCGAAACGCTCAGATGCGTCGATCCTCATGCTATATATTCACTTTCCCCTGCCTTTCCCTGTTACATTTGGTGCAAGTTAAACAGATTATTAAAGTAAAATAAATATCTACTCATCAAACGTTGATTAGAAGGAAAACTCTATAAAGGTTTCCTCGGAGTTTCTTAAGCCAAAATGTGACTCATCGAATTCGAGTAGTTACGAAATACCAGGATTCTTATCATTGTGGTAGATGGTTGCATCATCACAATTCACGCGGTTTTCACGTGCGATTCTACTCAGTGAAACAGTCCTTAACTCCAACAACTTATTTCTTTATGTTTTAAAAGCTATTGCTTCTTAAAAGACAAGAGCCTTTTTTAAGGCATTGGTTACAAAACGAAACAGGTCTTCATACGTTGAAGTTACTATTATTATTGTGAAAAGCCAATCTGCATGAGATGTACAATCACACAACTGGCACGTGAAAGTGTTGGACTTTGGCCCCTTTCGTTGTTCGTACGTGAGGGAATTCGAGTTATCACACGGTAAACAGAATTATAAAAATAACTCATGCACACAATTTGCTAAATAAAATACGTTTCAATAACTATAATGCTTAGTAAGCAGGAAGGATGTATCATGTTGTTCACTTATTATTATTTTTTTGTTTTGCCGGAACGAAAAAAAAAGGTCTGTTGAACTTTGTAAGCGAGAGAATAATATTTTTAAAGCTTGTTTACAGAATTAACAATACTCGGTACAGCTTTAAGAAAAATAAGCTGCCTTTCAAACTTGTAAAACCACATTTTATAGGCCGCATACTTTCAAATTTAAGTCCATATCTAAATATCAATTATTGCTTCACTGGAAGAGCTGTGAAAATATATGATCTTTTATACTCTACCTTGAAGCGGGTGAAACACAACTCATAAATACGTACGTTGTACCGTTCGCGATAGCCGAATCGGTCACAAATGTCTTGAGGCAGCATCCATACTAAAATATGAACCCTTAAACAGCTGCATCACTGTTTACAGCGTTTGAATCATGAAGATATTTTATGTAATGCTTCCAAACACCTGTACCCGTAATAAAAAACGAAAAAATTGTGAAGGATCAAGATGGCGGTCTCAAAGTGCCCTTGTTCGACCTTTACCAATGCCATGTTTAAATAGATGCGAAGGTCTCATGGGTTCCTAAGCATCAACTCATAGTACCTTCAACCTTATTGGCTCTTGCAACAAACATCCCAACATACAAAGCCACAAAGATACAAAGCCACAAAGATACATACGCTCACACCACTGACATATGAGCTATTTTTGAAAAAATAGCTCAAAAAAGGATGATCTGGCCCTTTTTTACCCTCCAAATGGGTTAAACTTTCAGTTTTGCTGATTTAATTTAATTTTTTTGATTGCTGCGAGTTGATCCGAGTCCAATTTTATTTTATTTTTACTTTTTTATTCGATCCGAGTTGGTCCGAGTCGATCCGAGTTGATCCGACCTAGACTGGCGGTCCGAGTTGATCCGGTCCGACTTTTGTACTGTTTTCAGAGTTAATCTTTATGAATATTTAAAACAGGTACAATTATGGCAAGGTAATTATTACCATGTTAGATGTGTTAGATGCTCAGGGGGGGTAGACTACTTATGTTTGGTTAAAAGGCATATATAGGTATTTTCATGTAGATGAAGTGTTTGCTTGGTGAATATCATCATCGTTCTGATCGTTTTCTTGTTTGTGTAGCAAAAGAATACTGTTATTGAAGCGTATACAATAACATAGGCACGTTCAAACGTGCATGAGCTATTTTGAATGCTTCAGTGTAACTATAATACTTCGGTGTAACCTTACCAAGAGTGATGAATCTACGTTTTCATCCTAAATGTAGATTTGGTTTTTGTGCGAAATTGGGTATTGCGCTACATAAATGAAAACGCGAAACGCTCAGCTGAGTCGATCCTCAACCTATGTATTCACTTTCCTCTGTCTTTCCCAGTTACATCTGGTGCAAGTTAAACAAGTTGCTAAAGTAAAATACATTTCTACTCACCAAACGTTGATTAGAAGGAAAACTCTAAGGTTTCCTCGGAGTTTCTTAAGCCAAAATGTGACTCATCGACCCGGGGGGGGTACTCCCATACATTACCTATACGGGTATGTGCCGCCCAACGGGGTCGTGATTTTAAAGCTCCTGGTTTAGAAAGGGGTATCCATTTCAGAGGCGTTTTCTAGAACGGGGTATAATATTTCGAACGCATGAAAGCTCCAGTTTTGTAAGCAACCATTTGAAATTATTCAAGGACAGATTGCTTTTAAAAATACGGCTCAATGCGTTACTGAAGCATACTGTTATACTCTTGTTGCACCCTAGAACGTAGTATAAAAAATTGGCCCATTTCTAGAACGGGGTATCAGTTTTAGCGCGAATTCTAGAACGGGGTATAAAAAATTGGCCCATTTCTAGAACGGGGTATCAATTTTAGGGGAATTTTTTTTTAGAACGGGGTGCCAATTTGGAGTCCCGGGCGGCACATACCCACCCAAAAAATACCCAAGTGCCCCCCCCGGGCTCATCGAATACTGAATAGTTACGAAATACCAGGATTTTTATCATTGAGGTAGATGGTTGCGTCATCATAATTCACGAGGTTTTCACGTGCGATTCTACTAAGTGAAACAGTCTTTAACTCCGACAACTTATTTCTTCATGTTTTAAAAGCTATTGCTTCTTAAAAGGCAAGAGCCTTTTTTAAGGCACTGGTTACAAAACGAAACAGGTCTTCATACGTCCAAGTTACTATTTATCATTGTGAAAAGCCAATCTGCATGAGATGTACAGTCACACAGCTGGCACGTGAAAGTGTTAGACTTTGTCCCCTTTCGTGGTTCGTACGTGAGGGAATTCGAGTTATCACACAATAAACTAGTAAACGGAATTATAAAAATAACTCTTGCACACAATTTGCACGTGAAGATGTTGGTCTTTGGCCCTTTTACAATTCGTACGTTAAAAAAAAGGCAAATTGTTTACTACAAAATTTTCTCAAGCGATTTTAAGAAATCACCTCGGCTTCATTACAACATCTGCCATTAAATTATGTTTCATGCAACGTCAAGGTTGATAACCTAACATTTATTAACATTTGTGAGACAGCCTTTAACTCCGACAATTTATTTCTTCATGTTTTAAAAGCTATTGCTTCTTAAAAGACAAGAGCCTTTTTTAGGGCATTGGTTACTAAACGAAACAGGTCTTTATACGTTCAAGTCACTATTACTATTGTGAAAAGCCAATCTGCATGAGATGTACAGTCACACAGATGGCACGTGAAAGTGTTAGACTTTGCCCCCTTTCGTGGTTCGTACGTGAGGGAATTCGAGTTATCACACAGTAATCGAGTAAACAGAATTATAAAAATAACTCGTGCACACGATTTGCATGTGAAGATGTTGGTCTTTGGCCCTTTTACAATTCGTACTTTAAAAAAACGCAAATTGTTTACTACAAAATTTTCTCAAGCGATTTTAAGAAATCACCTCGGCCTTATTACAACATCTGCAATTAAATTATGTTTCATGCAACGTCAAGGTTGATAGCCTAACATTTATTAACTTCCAAGAAAATTATCAAACTGCCGAAATATATTTCTGCTCATATCATGTTACTCCACTCAATAAAGCAGTACCTAATTATTGTGTCAACTAGCTTCTTCCAATTTTATTCCCTAACGCTACTGTTTCTACTTAAGTTTATACGCATCTTTACTAAATAAAATACGTTTCAATAACTATAATGCTTAGTATGCAAGAAGGATGTATCATGTTGTTCACTTATTATTCCTTTTTGTTGTTGTTTTGCCGGAACGAAAAAGGTCTGTTGAACTTTGTAAGCGAGAGAATAATATTTCTACAGCTTGTTTACAGGATTAACAATACTCGGTACAGCTTTTAAAAAAATAAGCTGCTTTTCAAACTTCTAAAACCACATTTTATAGGCCGCATACTTTCGAATTAAAGTCCATATCTAAATATCAATTATTGCTTCACTGGAAGAGCTTTGAAAATATATGATCGTTTATACTCTACCTTGAAGCAGGTGAAACACAACTCATAAATACGTGCGTGGTACCGTTCGCGATAGCCGAATTCGGTCAGAAATGTCTTGAAGTAGCATCCACACTAAAATATGAACCCTTAAACAGCTGCATCACTGTACACAGCGTTTGAATCATGAAGATATTTAATATAATGTTTCCAAACACCTGTAGCCGTAATAAAAGACGAACAAATTGTAAAGAATCAAGATGGCGGTCTTAAAGTGCCCTTGTTCGACCTTTAGCAATGTGATTTTTAAGTAGATGCCAAGATCTCATTGGTTCCTTAGCATCAACTCATAGTACCTTCAACCTTATTGGCTCTTGCAACAAACATCCGAACATACAAAGTTACAAAGATACAAAGTTACAAAGTTACAAAGTTACAAAGTTACAAAGTTACAAAGATACAAAGCCACAAAGATACATACGCTCACACCGCTGACATATGAGCTATTTTTTCAAAATAGCTCAAAAAGTAATCAATGGTTTAATGAACTTAATTATATTGTGGTTTGTGCAAGGTGGTCTAGCCTTTGTTCTTTCTTTAGTCTGAATGGCAAGTTTGGAGATGATTTCAGTGCTGCTAATCTTTCAAAAGTCATTGGCTCAATGATACAAGAGGAAAGTTTTTGAACCCTGCTTATCGCAACATAAGTTGCACCAGGCGATCTCTCTGATGGACCAATGTCTATCCAAGCTTTCGGTAGAGTAAGTCCTTGACACGTGGCAGTTGTTGTCTCTCACAGGAGCTATTTTTTTGACTGTACTGAAACTGTTGTAGGGAATATTGGTGCATAAGGTTGTGCATCTATGAATGCTGGACCTCTATAGTTGTCAAAGTCGACTATAACAGCAACAGGTAAGTCTGGTGGGTGACGATTATTGTCATAGACGATATGCCGAACCATTCCAGTAGCTCCAGTACAGAGGCCAACCTGTGACCATAAATTCATAGTCAATATCACTTTTGCTGTGTTTGCTAAAAATACAACTGGGTCTAATCCTGACATCTCATTGGGTCTAAAATTTTTAGCAAAAGTAGATGAACGACAAGCATTAATGCGGGCAATAGGTTGCTTAAGTTTAGTGAGCTGGTCAAAGTTATAGTTAGCAACTTGTTCATTGTTGTATAATAAGATGATGATGATGACTGATAAATGATGATTTATTAAACTCAGCTCAGTTTTCTTTACATGACATAAAGGTTAAATTTACATTGGCATCTAAACACAGTACGACAAAGGAATACATGAAAAATGGTAACAACAAAATGGAGAGCGAGTTGGGATCATTGAAATAGCAAAGGCTAATTTAGTGGATCACCCCTTCATTAAAATACAATTACAGACAGAATACAGAATACATATGCATATTTTTATATAAAAAGTATTTCTTCATGCGCTAAGGCAGATAATTAATTAGAATAACAATTGAGGGTAGAGTTCTTAAGGGTTGTACGAAATATTGTAAGAGAATTTGAATTAGTTATACTTGAAGGTAAGGAGTTCCAAAGGCGAGGACTAGTGAATTTTAGGGAGCGTAAGCCATATTGGGTAGTATTAACTGAGGTTACATAAAGATTTCTATTGCATGATTTCCTCGTTGCATAGGAATGAACAGAAGAAGTAAATTTGAATATTCACTGAAACAGGGGGGTAACAGTCTGCATGACCAGTGATAAACAAAAGAGAGTATCTGTGATTCAATGACCATCATTGAGCTTAAGTAGGTTGAGAGATTTGAACAGAGGCTCAGAGTGGGATTTTGGTTCGGAGAAAGATATTAGACTGATTGCTACTTTTCTGAATAATAAATAATTGTGTTAGAAATGAGGGAAAGGTTAAACCCATGCAGAAATGGACACCATAAGTGAGGAAAGGATAGATAAGAGAGCAATAAAGCATGACAAGAATATGGTTGTCAACAAAATGTCTCACTTTTGACAAGATGCCTACTGTTTTTCATAGTTTATAACCTTATGGCATCTTTAAATTCATTCAAATTGGACACATTTCATGCTTGTCGGCTAAGAAGTAATGTCCAGTCATCAGACCAGGCCTTATCACAGTTATCAGCTGCTTTCGTACCTTCTCCAATAACGTGGTTCAGTTGTGCTGTGCTTAAAGAGCCATCATTACTTTTTGGGTTTTCAGCCAAGAATCCTCTCAAAGCTATGTCTGTTAACTGATCCAATCCTGGGTCATTTTTCAGTTTCTCTAACAATCTTTTTCTGCCAGGCTCCTTCCGCTGTGGACAAAATTGTGCCACTTGTCGATACATTACTAATGGCCTGACAAGTTATACTCTTTACGCGATGGGTGAAACACGCAGCATCACTTCACAGAACACTTGTAACACTAGAAATGTGATCTACATGGTTCAATTGATGCAACTGTTGTAATTTACAACATATAGGTGAAACTAAGCGACTCCTCAAAGACAGGTTTAACGAACACAGACGTGCAGTCGACAAAACTAAACCCATGACTACTGAACACTTTCGCTATCACTCTAACCATTCGCATACTGACATGCAGTTAATGCCACTAGAGAAAATTCATTCTTCACGTGACTCAGTTCGTAAGGCTAGGGAGTCGCATTTGATAGATAAGGCCATGAAATGCATATCCTTATTATTTTTTCTTTTCCCAGTGTTTTTTTTGTGTGTGTGTGTGTAGTACGTCATTTCCGCCTCTCCCTTTTAAACAATTTTTATTGCGACATTCTCCATCTATATAATATTGTGGAACAGTAGTACAGTGGAACCTTGACCTCTATAACAAGTTATAACAAATACTTCGGTATCACAAACGATTTTCTTTACTCCAGTAATAGTAAATTATATGAAAAATAACCTTGGTATAACGAAACCTCGTTAAAGCGAGCAAATGTTGCCAGTCCCTTGGTAATTCCACACTATGGATTTTTGTCAGTGGAACTTGGATTCCGGATTCCAATCTTAAGTGAGATTACGGATTCCTTAAGCTGTATTCAAGCTGTATTCCGAGTACTTCCACAAGCAACAATCTCCTGAATTCCAGAACTCGCATTCCCTTACATGGGGCGAAAAGTCTTAGTATGTGCTAATGTTACATTATAATTCTCATTTACAGTCACCCAAATTGTGTCTTCCTGAGTGTGGAAAGGCAAAAGACTCTGGGCTACCGCATTCACGATTTACTTGAGTACAGAAGTTACCCTCGAAAGAATATTGGCTACCTGTATGCCATTCAACATGGTGCGAAAATCATCTATGAAACAGACGATGATAACTCACCAACAAGCGGCAAAATTACTTTCTACCAACAAGAAACTGGAGACTTCTTTGTTTACAAAACGGACTCCGCAATGGTGAACCCTTATGAACACTTTGGACAAAGCACCATATGGCCAAGGGGGTACCCCCTGGATCACATTGGTGACCCCCCATCGCACCGGTTTGTCAAATGCGCAGGTGTGGACACATCAGTTCAACAGGGGGTAGTGAACGGAGATCCCGATGTGGACGCCATATTTAGACTGACAAGAAAAGACAAAGCTGTTAATTTGAATGTCGAGTTTGATGCTGAAGCGCCTCCTGTTGTACTTCCTCCAAATACATTGGCTCCGTTCAATTCTCAAAACACGCTGTTCTTACACAAGGCATTGTGGGCCTTGTTGCTTCCAACAACAGTAACTTTCCGAGTCTGCGATATCTGGCGCGGTTACTGGGCTCAGCGGTTATTGTGGGATGTGGGGACACATTTGTCGTTTTTCCCGCCCAATGCCGTGCAGTTCAGAAATGCACACGACTATTTGTCCGATTTTAAGGATGAAAAGATGGTCTATTATGAATCTGGGCGTTTAATTGAGTTTTTAAACAAATGGAAATCAGATAAGCCAGACTTTTTCAGTAGAGTACTTGATTTAAGCGTGGCATTAGCTGAGAATGGATTTTGGGGGATAAATGATGCCCTCTTAACTAAAGCATGGCTAAGTGACTTAGTCAGCATTGGATATGAAATGCCGAGCATAAAAAAGGCCTCCAAACCATGTACAAAAGTTATCAGTGAAGCGATAGACCTTCATTCGAAGGAAAAGCCATCATCATATCTTAGAGCAGGGGCAGAGTTGAAAAACATTCTCAAGAGAAAAAAAAAAGAGGGTTGACGCACCAGATGCGTAGCAATGTATTTTAGACATTTCGATTAATTCTATGCTTCTCCCAAAACCTAGTAGTTCCCAGGCTCTTAGATAGCAGGGAAGTCACGAAAACAATGGGACGTGAGTGATCTGGGAAAGGGCGTGATCTCTCTCCCCAGTCCCCGCACGTCTTTTTTTGTCATGTTGAGAGATATCTGCACCTAAAATAGGGAGTTTATTTTTTAAAATGCCGCCTATTTCTTAAAATGCCGCCTAGTATTTAAATTGCCCGTGGGTGGGGTGGGGGGGGGGGAATCTCTATTCCTCATAAGCTCGGCTTCTCGGAGATTTCCCCGCCACAGTCACTCCTCCCACGTAGTGTACAAATTTTAAATTTAATGTTAATTAACCTATTTATTATCGTTTTTATTCTGCTTGTAATTCATTGTGTGAGGCAAAATAATAAAATAAAAAACAAGTTTTTGAGCTACGCACATCAACTGGACGTGAACTTTTTGAAATCTTGGTTCGTGATTTTAAACAAATTTTATAGTAGTTCGTCTCTATCAGAGTAAAAACACTCAGTAATACAACTTTGGTAGCATCAAGACATAAATTAAAGGCAAAAGAACAATCTGGTTGACGTGCGTCGCTTTATCAAAGCGTGCGCACGGTTATTTCATCCTAGGAATTTCGAGAACGTACCTCTGGAGCCAGGGTACTGAAAAGGCAACCTATGGGAAGAATTTATTGTCTATATTTTACAAATTTTGTTTTTCATTCATAATTGAACACTGAAAATAAAGACTATGTCAGTGCCTCAAATATCGCTTAAATACAAAATATATTGATACATCTATAATGATACATATCTTCCCACAACAATTGCTACCCGAGTTTGAAATAGTAGGTGTTGCTCAGGCTTGTCCTTACAAGCCTTAACATCTAGTTAACCCTAGCTGTGGTAACATTAAGTCTGCGGCGCACGCTATAGCTAGTGGTGCTCCGACATTTTTTTTCTTGTAAATTGAAAACATTTGAATTTAGTGGATATTAGATATTGTACCTGATTTTGGGTATTGACATACCTGAATTGTTTTGTTTTTGGTGTGTGGCCATTTGAATTGTCAGGCTACTATTTGCTTCCCGACATTTGACAACTTATAAGGCGTTTTTGAGCGAGGCATGTCAGTTGGAGAGGGAATTCTTACATTCTTAGCTTGTTGCCCAAATTTTAGCGCGTCTTTTAGAGAAAAGAAACTTAGTAATACCGAGATACAGAGAAAAAACCTACTTTTGTTCAACTTGCGTCGCTCAAAAATCCGCAAAAAAACTCTTTTCAGTTTAAACTCCCTAGAAAAATCAACTTTTCTTTGAACAAACTGGAAAATAACGTCTCAAAGTGGAAAAGGAATGTGTGGGAGACGCGAGAAAATAAATAGCAAAAATAATGATAATAATATGACTTATATAGCGTGGTATCCACTAATTGCTCAAAGCGCTGTACAATAATATGGTAAGAGACTAGAGTTAAAAACTATTATAAGATAAAATAAAAATCAAATAAAGCTACTAACATCAAACATCGTAGGCTAATTTAAATAAGTATGTTTTCAACTGCGTCCTGAACTGGTCGACAGATGTAACACCCCTGAGTTCAGGGGCAATTGGTTCCATAACCTAGGAGCAGCTGCGGAAAAAGCCCTTAAGCCCCATTTACACGGCAGAAAATTTTTGGCGCGGCTTGGATGAAAGTGGCACGCGTACTAAAAAAATAGCACTGATTACTCATTTACACGTTCTTTTTTCTACCGTGCTAAGCGATGTGAAATTATGATTTGGTACGGGTAAAAGGCTCAACATCTCGGCCAGCGTACTCGATACTTGCCTAGTGCGCATGCTGCTTCCTCTGTAAAAACATGGCGGACGAAAAGTTCTTGGAATTCCCACAGTGCATGTAGTCTAAGCACAAGGAACAAATGGGTGGTCATTGAACACTGGTGCAGTTATTGAATTATTGTGTGGTTATTGAACACACTGAACTAACGAAAAAGTATTTATCATTTATGCTACACATTTATATTAAAAAATTCTAACGTATTTGTGGCTATTTCCCCTGCAGCTGCATATTGTCCACGCTCATCAATGAACTAACGTGTGGTCATTGAACTACTGTCGTGTTCATCGAACTTTTCGTTTATATATATTGAACTAACGAAAACGCTCATCTGTACATTCTCTCCCACATTGGTGCTGACCAAAGGCACGAAGGCTCATCAGAGAAAAGTTAGCTCGGCACGGCTAATCGTTTACACTGCACACTTTATCCGAGCTGGGCTAGATTTTCAGGATCGCGTACCAGTTTTATCCGTGCTCGGACTACCTCTCGACATGGTCCGAGCACGGCTGAAATTTTGGTCCGGCACGGATGGGGCAAAGTCGTTTACACGACTAAATCTATCCGTGCCGAACCAATTTTCTTGGTACGCGTATTTTTTTCATCCGAGCCGTGCCAAAAATTTTCGGCCGTGTAAATGGGGCTTTTAGTCTTTAACCTAGTCCTAGCTAGGAATGGCTAGAAAATTCTGGGAACTAGAACGAAGTAATCGTGGACCGTTAGTGTAGTGTAAAAGTTCAGATAGGTAAGCTGGTGCCAAGCCATTTAGAAGAGTAAAATTTTGAAATGTATGCGATAACCCAGCGGCAACCAATGAAGTTTGAACAGGATAGGAGTGATATGGTCAAACTGCTTAGATAATGTAACAATGCGGGCAGCAGTGTTTTGTATCAGTATTAACCTGTTTAACAGGAGTTTTGGAAGACCATATAACAAAGAGTTACAGTTATCGAGTTTAGAGCTAATAAACGTATGTACTAAAATTTAAGAGGTCTCTTCACTTAAGTACCTCCTGATCTTAGCTATGTTCCTTAAATGATACTGACAGGAAACGCAGATTTTGTTAACATGGTCGGTTAAATCAAGACACTGATCTATAATCACCCCCATATTTTGGGCGGAAAGTTTGGTTTGGATCTTCTTATCAACCACTTGGATAAACTCTAGAGAAGGCCTGCAACGAAATTTTGAGCTGATGAGAACAAGTTCAGTTTTATCCTGGTTGAGTTTAAGACCATTGTTCACCATCCAACAATTAATGTTGTTTACACAGCATTCAACACGACGCTTAGCCAAAGAGAGATCATAGCTACAGTCAGTTCTAAACGATATATACAGCTGGGTATCATCAGCGTATAAATGATACTGTAACTTGTGGAACTTTATGATATCAGCAATGGGAGATGTATAGAGGAGATAAAGAAGAGGGCCCAGAACAGATCCCTGGGGCACACCGCGTTCTAGAGAGTGCTGTGTTGACCTACAGTCATTGACCCGAACAAACTGCATGCGCGACGTCGGGTATGACTCAAACCATGCAGCTGCAGTACCGTTTACTCCGAAGCGGTTATGCAATCTTGATAAATGTATCGAGTGATCAACCGTGTCGAAGGCAGCTGACAAATCCAATAAAAGAATTATAACAGACTCATTGTTGTCAATAGCACACAGGATGTCATTCTGGACCCTTACTAAAGCTGTCTCGGTGGAGTGAAAGAAAATAGATGACCATGAGTGATTTTCAATTGTATCACTTTAGTTTTTTTTTTCATTCACTCAAGCTTTCTTTCCACTTTCAATTGAATAGCAATTGGCTTAACCGTAGGCCTGGGGAAGGGTTCAGTTAACTCTCAGTCTAAGACGGACACCTCCCGGGGGAGTACTCCTTGGAATTCTTGGTGGGGGTGTGCCTCCTGGTTCTCCAAATCCTGACCCTATTTCAGACCAAAAAATGTCATTTTTCACACCCGTTTGCAGACCTGGCCTTTACTTAGATTAGAACGCCAACAAAAAGGATTTCTTAAAATCCGTTTCGAATTTGCATATTTCTCTTGTAGTTTCTTACTTATTTGTAATTTTCAGTCATACACTCCCGTAGTTCCCTAGAAAACCATACCTGATTCCAGACCAAAATTTCCCGTGTCTATACCTGTTTTTAGCCCAAAAAGGCCCAAAAACCGTACCCTTTGGGGTGGCACATACCCATATGGCTTATATAAGGGAGTACCCCTTCCCCCCGCCCCCCCCCGGGTAGGAGATATCCCTCTTATAGAATAAAAGAGTCAAAGAAAAGGAGTAAAAATTGGAAGGGACCAACTCTAGGTGTCTGTCCTTTAGAGGTTTCTGTTAAAATAGAGTCAACTATATATAATAAGGAGATCCTTTCTACCAAGGAAAAAACGCCATACATTTTTCAGTTAATATAACTAGATGACTTGTTGAACAATTTAACAAAATCAAATTTATTTAATTTGATTGTATATGGAGTATTGTATGACGAAACTTACTTAGCCACAAAGATACAGGGTCGGTTATTTAAACGAAGTCTAACTTAGACTGCGGTTTAGGCAATCTTTGGACCTCTAGATCTGATCAAACAAAAAATGGCTTAGAACGCAGTTTTATTAAACACTGGGTAAACACCATTTAAATAACTGGCCTGAAGGTAATACAAAAATATGAAAAATAGTGGAAAAGTTAGTAAGTGTCTTGAAGTCGCAGTCCATCATACAGGAATGGGGAGTGGTAGTCTCCCCCTTGTAGTCGTTTTTAGGCTTTTCGCGCAATGCTTCTCCTGTTGGATGACAAGCCTAAAAATGGCTGTGAATATAATGAGACTATGGGAGGTGGGGTTGCCATATATTTTGAGATGGTCAGAAGATGGTTGAGCATTATTTTCATCTGACTAATTTTAGTTCATCAAGTTTATTACTTACGAACACAACTTCATCTTTATGAAACAAATACTGACCTTTTTGTGGACTCTGCAATGTTTTACTTTAATCATCACCGTCAAATCTCACTGACTACCAGTGAAAAATTTTCACTGAACTTTATAGCCTTTTAGGCTTGCATGTCTTATTATTTTGTGACAAATATCTATACTTTTATTTTTCTAGATTTTCAATCTATGTCCATTTTACAGCATTTGGACTTATTTTCCAGTTACCAAGAGATTAAAAAATAAACATCTCCGGACATTAGAAAGGGTCTTAACTTACTGGCTGTGGCTTTTCTTGATATTTTTTTTTGCCCACAGAAAGGCAGGATGCAGGTCACAGGTCACAGGTGCATTTTACAGTAAAGGTCACAGTGATATGGTGAATAAACAAAACTTAATGTTTTTTTTGTAGTCCTACTCACAATCTGATATAGAATTTTAGCTTAAGGGGAAACTGTCTATCTCAGTTATTTAACAGTAGAGCAGTGACCTGCACTAGTGACCTGTGACCTGTGTTTTTGAGCATGCCACACGTCACACATCTGGCGTGACAACTGACATGGCAAAAAGTACTCAGTTTATGACGTTGGTAGCACAAGTTTGATGCTGAGAATTCTTCATTTCTATTACGCAATAACACTCTGGTTAGTTTCGGGACATTATCTTTGCAGGGCTCATGTCATTTGTCAAGACCAGAAGGCAATCACACGGGAAATTCTGCTGTATGTACTCAGATGTACTTCCGGTTTGTCTAACAATTAGAATTCGCCTTTGAACGTTCCTTTGCCGAAACGTTTGAAACACGAAGTCCAGTCTGCAGTCCTGAATTCCACTGTAACTGTCAAACTACGAAACTGGTTTCCTGGCAAAGTCCTCACAGCTTTAGCCATTCTTAGAATATAGTCGCGATAAGCATGCATGACGAAGAGAAATATGTCCTATCAGTTCACTAGCACAAACTTCAGCTCCAAAAATATATCCCTGGTGGGCGCACTAGCCAACAATTCCTACAATCCTCACAGCAGAGTTTTTCAGTAATGTCCATTGCGTAGATTTTACTTGCTGACTGTCGGTTCTTTTTGGTGAAAAACATAGTAGTAGCAAACTGAAACTCGAGTAAACAACGAGAAGATAGACAGAGTTCTTGGCAAGAAGCCCGTAAGCCGTTGTGAACATGAGAAGCAGAACCATTCCGCTGCTGAAAACAACAATGCTCATTAAAATTCTTAAGAAAGGAGCAATTCCCAATAAAATGAAGATTATTTTGAGAACTGGCGGCATCGCGTGTTCTATCGCCTTCTCGACAACCCTCTTTCATTCACGACCTCTGTCCTGTGAGTTTGTTTATCAAGTAAGCTGAGCATGAGAGGCTGTATATCTGGTCAGCGGCTTTAGAATCCTATCACGTGATCAACCTGCACATGCCGCGGGAAGGAGTCAACATGGCGTCCTTCGAGGGGTCGCCAATCTTTTTCTTTACGAATATGGAAGCTCGGTCGAAGTAGCGCTTGGAAAAGTTACATAAACTAAGAGGCCATTAGTCTTTGTAATAGAAATTGACGATGATGTTTCAACAACCACCCCCACAGGGGCTAAAGTTCGCTCCAAAGCCAGCGACTTCATCCACCGTTCAACCAGCTACAACTTCAGAATCACATGTACAAGATGACAAAGGTTTTCGACAACCGATCACTTTTGATGGCAAGCGGATGCGAAAAGCTGTTATGCGTAAAACTGTCGATTATAACTCTTCCGTTGTTAAACAAATTGAGGTACGATGCCCTTTAGTTCCCGGTTTGTACCCAAAACGACGTTTACGTTCAGACATGGCTATAAACTCCTTTCGAAGGTTTTTCTTTCTGTCACGAAATCACAGTTTTCACCTCGGGCCCTTTTATTATTAACTAAAAGGGTTTTGAAATAGTTTTATATTCCGTCTGCCGCTTAACCTTTTTCAATTAAATATTCTGATCTTAGTATAAAGGCGTATTTCTCTCCTGCAGGGCTTGAGGAATGCATTTAAAGCTGTCATCGAGTGCTTTACTTTTTTTTTCTAGTTGTGAACTGCAATGATTTCTACGTTTTGTTGGTGCCCCTTAGGAGGTGCATTGAATAAATAAACGAGTGAATGAATGGATAACCAGAAATATTATCTAAATCCAAAAAAGTAACGAAGGCTGCAAATTTCATCAGTGATTGTCAGAATTCGGTGCAAAGACAAATACAAAATTACATGCATAATCAATATGCATGCTTTTTTTGGCTGTGACAATTTTGAATGATTGATTGCTTTGAACAGCCTGCTGATACCAAATGGCTTTTAATTTCTCGGGAAGCGGGGCTGCATGATAAAAACTGTGATTGGTCTTATTTTGCAAGATCCATAAATCCAATAATTTTTGTGTTAACTAGAAAAAAATCAAATTGCTTTTAAAGCTCATACAACTTATTTGTCCAAGGATGTTTGCGGTATTAGTAAATAAAGCCTTAAAAATTCATTTTCCTTAAAAAAAAAAGATAGAGAATGCTGAAACTTTATAGAGTGCTTTATTGGCCTTCTGCCATGTCCTGTATGGTGAATTGATAAAGAATCACAGGTCTTGATTCTAAGTAACAAACTAGTAATTCAGAAAACCTGGCAAATATTTCCAAGTCTTAAAGTTGATTAAAATCCAATACTGTAGTTTTTCTTTGCTTCCAATTAATATGGTGTCGTAACCATGAAAAACAAATTCTAATTGATATGCTGCTTCTCCATTCATATCTTGAGAAAAAAAGCTTCGTTAGTATTTTTGTTGGATAGCATAATGCAATATTGAAATAAGATGGGTTAGGTCTATGTTTTTCGTACTTAAAAGTTTTAGTTCAAGGTTTTTTGCTTTTTTCTCAGTATAACAAAGAATATCAAACTGATATGCGCACTGTACTCACAGCTTTATTAATTACTCTTGCATTGCATATGTTGCAGTTAATTTTTATTTCAGGTAATTTTTATTTTTCCTTTGTTTCATATTCATTAGCATACATTACCAAACCCAAAAACCAAGTAAAAATAAGAATTAACTCCAACACATATCTTGGCCTTGTTTGTTAAAAGGCTTTTGAGATGGATATAGGCTACTTCTGTTTAAAGCAATATTTAAACTTTTAAGATGGAATCCACTAAGAAATTGAGTAATTTTAGTGATTCAGAAATTCAATTTTAACATTCATTTTCTAGGGCTCCCATAAGAAAGTTTCTTTATTACAGGTGACTAATTACATCTTTAGCCCTTGAAAAATGTAAAAAAGAATGCAATATTCTTAAAATTACTCTGGTACAAGGGTTTTGTGCGCTGAAAATTAAAATTACTCAATTGCCTGATGGATTCCGTCTTAATTACTATTTTTTCTAATCCTCTTTGAGAGATGGATATAGGAATGACCAGTATCCAAAGCTACGTTCAAAAATGACTTTTTGGATGAAACTTGTTCTGTTTTGTTTTCACAGAACAGAAAATGGTTCAAGAATTTGAGCAGGAGGAGTGGAATGCAACCTGATGATTCTTTTTCTTCTGATGTAAATAGGAAATTTTAGAATCCTACTTAATTTTTAGATACAAAATAAGAGACAGTTACAGTGGAACCTCAATTTAATGAGCCTCTGTGTAATGAAATCCTCAGTATAACGAACGATTTTCTTCAGCCAAAATTACAATAAAATGTTTGGAACAGAACCTTGATATAATGAACCTTGGTTTAACAAAATCCTCATTATAACGAACACAATCTAGAAACCCCAACGTAAAATATACCTTGATATAACAAATAAATGTCAACATGTGACCAAAAGATAGCTAAAGATGAATGTGAAACCGACCAGTGAGGAGAAAATCTATGTGTACAGTAGACAAGTTTTAAGTAGCTTTGTTGGCCGGTTCTTGTGTTTCTAGTGCCGAAGCTATGTACAGCTCTGAACTTAGACAATAGCTCTGTTTACAAATGTTTATAACAGAAACTGGTCAGATCTGGAAATGCTGGACAAGTTTCCCCAGTCGTTTGGCACTTCGTTAAATCAAGATTCCACTGTACTCGAGTTTCCACTCAAACCGATCTTCACACTGTACCAAATGCTGGTACAAAATACCAATTAAAAAAGAAGGAAGTGATGATTTCTAGAACAAAGAATTTGAGTAACTGTTTTTTATTTTCTATCGTAAAATTTGTTTATCACTTTGCATGTACATTTGGCATTTGCATCAAGCAGTACTGCCACCATGGAAAGCACATATATTGTTTCTTTGTTAATAATCCCCAGTAGAGAGTTATTTGGTTTGATACCCCCTCCCCCACTTCCCAACAGAAATTCTTGGTCAGGGTCTCACATGGCTATTAAAGGTTTGGTCTTTAGGTCTGATCTCTCTTTTGAAATTTCCAGTGAACCTACTTGAGGTAATTATGGGTATTTTTTGGAGGCATGATGCATTGGGTAAACAGAATATCATGACGTAATTATAATAATCATAGTTGGCAATTCTGTCGTATTACCACTGTGTGATATAAATTCTGCCCATTGATTCAGAAACATATTATAGAAGACCAGGAAAAATGAAGTTGAATTCCAGACTGTCCTTGACTTTGGACAGGTAGCTCTCATACTTTGCTTGGCTTGGGCCATTTGCTTGTCCAAGTTGATAAGTTCATTACAAGTTGACTTGCTTGAGTAAATAACCTCATTTGAGTGAGTGAGCGTTGAAAAGTTATATACTCAGTATGAGTAAGAAAATCTTCTTGTCCCAGACTACCAGACAGGATTCTTTTGAAGCCTTAAAGGCTGATAAATAATTTTGAGGACAATTTATGACAATACTTTTCGGGTTTAATTTCAGGCACCTCTTCTACTTTAAGTTTCAGACTGTATCCCTGCTAGTTTTGTGTCTTTTGCCAAGCTGAGTTGAGTAAGTGAAACCCTGTGAGCAGAGGCCCTTCGATCCTCCTAGATAAGTCTAGGAAGATCGAAGGGCCTCTGCTCGCAGGGAAAGTAAGTGAGTAACAGAAAGAAAAATTTTACAATTTATTTCTTTTCATTCTAGGTTTTTCCACCGGGATGTCTCTTGGATAATCCAATCAATGCCGTGACAACAAAATTTGTGAGGACTTCAACAAATAAACTGAGATGTCCCATATTTTGTGTTGCGGTTAGTACAGTCTACACATTGTTTTTTTTTTGCGGAAGTACAGCAAAACCCTCCCTCCCAAAGGCAACTTCTGTATCCCTGGGATAATACATTTAAATAACTTTGCTCAGCCTCAGTTTTTGGTTTTCTTTGCTGTGCATTTATGAGGATTCATTTGTTGGGAAAAGTTTTCTTAAAAAATGCTGAGGATCATAAACTTATTTTGAAGAAAGTACAAGTGTGCTATGGTATGAGATTTTCATTGGATTTTTCTGGCACATTTGTCTGAATCACTAGCAGGCTCGTTTAGGTTTGGTTTGAAAGACCTCTTTCCCTTCCCTTGTACAAGCTGGGTGTCAATATTGTGTCTGACCATTGAAAATTGATGAAATCATGAGTGGGACAAAAACCATGTTTCTTCATTGGTTGTAATGGTAGGTAATAGGACTGAGGTAAATGTGTTAAGCATTTAAGTTGTTGTTAGTGCACTTCTTTGGTTAATATCCTGTGTATGACCTGTATTGCAGTGGACTCCCGAGGGACGTCGTCTAGTAACAGGAGCATCAAGTGGAGAGTTTACTTTGTGGAATGGACTGACCTTTAATTTTGAAACAATATTACAGGTATGTACTTTACAACTGTACATGTACAGTAAATCCTCTATTAAGCCCCCTCTTTGCACTTGTATATTTCATCCATGGTTTGGGGAGCTTATGTTATAGGGGGACTTAGTTTGAGAAGATGGTGGTATCAATTGTCCATAAAAACTAGACTGTTAAGTGGAAAAGCCCAAGTACATGAAATTGGGGCCAGAGATTAGAAATCTAACTTCTAGCAGCGAGCAAATAATAAAGGGGGAGTGAAGCAGGAGCTTGAAAGAGAGGGTAGGCTCAATAGCTTTTTCCCCCCACCCCACAAAAGAAAAAAAATTGAGGGGAACTTAATAGAGGATTTAACAGTGTGTACAATTTCAAGCACTAGATGTAATAATGGATTTGTAAAAATTTGCTCCTGGCAAATATGTTACAAATACTGAGGAGTAAATTTATGGCAAAGACAGTAAATGCCACATTTGCATACCAAAAAACTAGGGAGGGAGGGGGGGGGGTAAATGACTAGACAATATGGCATTTACTATGTTTGCCACATATTTACTCCTTATTATTTATATCTCTGCAACATATTTGCAAGGAGCATTTTTGTGCAAATCCATTTTTTTTGTCCCGTAACGGTACACAATTCAGATAGCGTTACATTAGGAGGGGATGTCACTAAGATTTCCAGTTGCTGGTAAATACAACAAATAGGTGAGGAATAAAAGAGCTAAGGATTTCCTTTTGGTCTTCCCCTGCCCTCTGACTTAGCCAGTTCCACCTTCTTTGTCGCACCTCACAGCTTATGTCATTGATGTCAGACAACTCAACCACTCCCTTGTTTGTCCTTCTCTGCTGCCATCATGTTTAGCTACAATATGTTTTCTGATAGGCCTTCCTTAAAATCCCTAAAAGTACATTGTGAATTATTGTAGTTTGCATGTCCCCAAAATGGTGAAAATTATTTGTCCCCAGGCTCATGACAGTCCAGTACGTGCAATGGTTTGGAGTCACACTGATACCTGGTTGCTGTCGTCAGATCATGCGGGATTCATAAAATACTGGCAATCAAACATGAACAATGTTTATATGTACGAAGCACACAAAGAGCCCATCCGAGGATTAAGGTTAGCGGCAAGGCAGCAAAATGGACCATTTTTAGCTGTTCTTATTGGTATAGTAGCTTTTATAAAAGTTTTGTTAGACTTGCATCAGTGCATCCAATGAAACTTGTTTTATTTAGCAGTGATGGCAGAAAAACTAAGTGCGGAATATTGCAAAGGTAACAAGCCATCCTACAGGGTGTTGTTTGGGACCAGCATGTTATACTTGAAATTCTGAAAGAAAGACATTGTAATACCCTGAAATTTGTTACCACAAAAGTGTTGGTCTTTTTACATTCAAACTGTATCCTGTAGGATGAGCACTCTAAATTAATTTTATATAAAATAATTTTTTCATATTTTATTATGTGGCTGTAGTAAAATGCTTAAGGTCCATTAAAAAAAAAAAGAATGGCTTAAGCAGCTTTTATGATTATAATAATAATAATATAGCAGTAGATTAAGATGATTTGAATAAAGAGGGCATGGCTTACAAAATGAAAAAATAAAACATTTTTTAAAAAATAAAATAAACAATGACAATAAAGTGATCACCCTTGACCCCTTCACCAATAAACACATTTTAAAAATAAAATGCCACAAGCTTTCCTTTGTAGGTTCCTTGCCCATCCCGCAGGTTTATGAAACGTTGACACCTTGCTGCATTGTCCTTTTGAGCATCCCACACTTGAGTGTCTGAACAAAGAATTTTTTTTTTCAATTTTAAAGTCTGTACAGGTGTCAGTACTCGTTTTTAATAACCAACCAATGCTGGTCTTAGAATCCATAGTCAGCTACAAAATGTGTATAGTGACATCCAGAGATGACAGTTCCAGCATTCAGTGCTTTCTGTTCACTCTAGTTTTTGCCCCTTGCATAATTTTAGCGCTAAAATATGGTAAAGTTCTTATTCAGACTGATAAAATCAGTGGAACAGCTTTTCATGGCATCAAATCCTTCCCAAAATTGTTAAACTTTTACATATTGACTGAAAAGTCCATCTGTGTTACAGCGCACTGTCTCTTATTCCACATGTCTTTGTTTTCTATGGCGAGAAAAATATTAATATTATTTTTGCTGTTTTGGTCTGTACCATCAGAGCATCAACAGCATAACTTTGTAAAGACTATCTGGGCTTTATTGAGAAGAGGGTTTTACCTTCTATCACTAGACCTTTACGGTTTGTTCTCCTCTCAGATTTTGCACTGTTAACCAGTGGTTCATGCCAGTTAAGCATCTGAGCCAGACAGTGGACAGTGCTTGTAGATGATCATTTGATACAATACTCATGACCGTGAAAATGGAAAAAAAACACAGCACAACATAGACGGCAATTTGAGCTGAAGTAGACATCTGAACACTGGTGGTAAACTGCACTCTAATAAAACCCCTGATGATCACCAAACTCTAAAATTTGTCATTTTCTTCTAATGATTATTGGAAGAGAATATTGTCAGGCCTTCTCTGGATTGAAGAATGACTTTAACTCACACTCCTTTCTTCTCATGTACTAACATTGCCTCTGAATGTAAAAATATTTTGCATGTGAACCAATCAAGGTAGGTGTTGGGGTTAAACCATGCAATTATAGTTATTAATTTAACAAAGTTACATCAGTTTTCTGCATGGCAGGAGGGAAGTCATTAATTTTGCTGACGCTTTGAAAGGTATGCAATAACTTACGAATAGCCTCATCCCACACTAACAGATCTGTTTTCATGAAAGTTATCTGCCCTCTCTTTGTTCTCCCAAAATGCAAAATCCTATCGTACATTAAAAAATTTTAGGTGATGGACGTTTTTGATTAATTTGTCGACTTTGAGCTCCTCTAAACATAGTTTTCCTTGCTTTCTGACAGTGATACTCTCTATATATTTTATTTATCATCTTATCTACTTAAAAAGACAATCCAGCAGCCTATTTTTCATTTCAAGTGGTCTTTTCATTTTCATTATCAATGTAAGAGTTTGGGAAATTCAGAAAGAAGATGGATAATATTTCAATGGAGTGAAAAAAGCAAAATGACAACATGCCTTACTCCTGCACAACCATCCCTTGTCACACAGGGTTTGAATATTTTCGTTGCTTATCAAATGTATTTTGGAAGTTGGATTTTTAATACTTCCCCATCCTTCTGACCATGGTTTGTACTATCTTAAAATAATTTTAGTAGTCGTCTTCAAAAGTCCTTGAAAAGTGATTGATTTCTTTAGAAGGTCTTGGCCACTCTGTTTTTGCTAAGGAAAAATTTGGCTCATCCTTGGTGTAAGAACCTGTAAAACTCATGGGTAACATAAGGCAAAGAAGTCAACTCAATAGAGTGTGGGAAAAACAAGAGATTCAAAACTTTAAAAAAGTTCAATGAATTAAAACAAAAATAAGTGGTTGTTTAAACAGAAAGCAACAATATTTTATTTTGGTTTCTTTATTTCAAATGCTATTTCTGTGGATGCAACTGCAAGTAATGCCCAATGACTGTTGTCAAATTTGCAAAGTGTTATGGAAAGTAGTATAAAATAATGTGAACAACCATGGCTGAAGAAGTAAAAATTTTACATGACTTCATTGAGTGTTTTAGCCAGTGAGGTGTTCAAAAGGGGGTCAAAGAAAGTTGAGTTATTGAATAAATCTTAGACCTTGAAATCTGTAATATCCTTGAAAAGTTCTTGAAAAGTCCTTGACATTTGTTTGTCTGTAGTTGTATGAACCATGAGTAAGAACCTTTCTGACTTGCTATTACTATGGACAATTTTAGAACCACAGTATTGCCCTGGGGAGGGGGTACTGCCTTATTTGGCCTAAACGGCTAGGTACCGCTTAACAGGGAATTTTTTGTTTTAAAAATATATATATTGTCTGTATTTTAACATTGTCTCCTTTAGGGGTTCAAAAAAAGCTTGAGCCATTCCCAGAATGGTCTCCTTTAGGGGTTTAATTCAAAAAGTCCGACGAGCACCCTTTCATATGTGGAGTCCCCCCGTCCGCCCCTCCCCCGCAGGGCTTAACCAGCAATTTGACAGGATCAGTAAAGGCCTCAGTAGTGCACCCAACACTCAAACTTCCCTGAGTGCCCCGCCATCTTTAGTATCACTTCCTACTTGCTTTTAACTCGTGAATTTTTCTTACCAGTTTGTGTCAGGGGGAAGTTTTGGAATCAAAGTGTTTCTTAATAATCGCTGTTGGGGAATCAAACTTATGGCAACTTTTTTTGACACATTTGGAGTGTACTTAACCATGTTATCTCATTGGATGATGCTTGGAGGGTACCCCCCCACTTAAATTCACCCATTGGGTTATACTGTGTTTCAGGAATTAAATGGGAAACAAATTAAATGAAAATGTTTAGTCGCGTTCGTCAGAACACATCCTAATCTGGTGTTCCTGTGGCACTAAGGTAGAAATTTTGGAGCTATCACTGGCGACTGCAAATTAGCCGCGCCTATCAATTTTATCAGGGGCACCTCGGCCGGGAAACTGGACTCGTTTCAACTCGATTTTGTTTCTGTAATTTTTCCATAAGTGATAAATACGGATCCGTCATCAGTAATTTATTATCTCTAGTTTTATAAGAAACTGTTACTGTGTTAGTGCAGAAGTAGAAGACAATCAACTTAATTGATAAAACTACTTCTTGATGGTTTAAAAAGAATTACTTGAGCTTTTGAGCAAAAGCCCTCTTTTGAGACCTATCAAGGGATTGTTAGTTGTGTGTGGTACATATATCTTTAATATTAGTGGAGCATTATTGGTGAGGACACTTGCATGTTTCCACCATTCAGTTTATAACCACACACAGTCCACAATCGCTTGATTCACTCTGCCCCAGGGGCAACCAAATGCCTAGACTTTCTAATTTTATGTTGTCGACAAAAATGAAAGCACTATACAAAGCCATTTTTTGAGAACAGGAATTTCTTTACCTAGTCTTCAAATTATAATTGAGAAGTGCAAAGGAGTTCTTCGAGCAGCAGTTTTGCTTTGAAAGTGAAAACTTTGTCTTCTTTTTTTCTTTACCTTATTTGATTTTTTCAGGGGGAGGAGGCTTTGTGCTCCTTTAAAGGCTCAAGGGGTGTCAAGATTACAGAGATTTCCTTTCAATCAACACCCTTTTAGAGTGCATGCTACTCTTGGCGTAACCAGCTTTTCAACTAATTGTAGGCCTGGCTGAATTTCATTTCCACATATCCTGAAAATTGCATGCACGACTAGTACACACTAACCTCACCAATGCTTTGAGCTCTTAAGCTTTTTAGCTCACCCCAACAACACGTAATTTATTACAAGCGCTAGAGTGATCAAACCAAAAATTTGTAGGCTCGGGCCTACGCGTCTATGGGCTGACTCAACCCCTGCCTAACAATGGGATTGAAAGTTAAAAACCAGTGGGTTGTACATGCAAAGAGAATTTTGTGCAGCAAAAAAACATCTATCCCCTCCCTCTCTTGGTATACCAATGTATAGTGTAAAGAACAATATGAAAGTGAACTAGAATTTTTTAAAACAACACCAACAACTTAAATCCATTTTAGAGGTATGGTCATTTTGAAGAGCCATATTCCTTTTTGAAATTTTTGATTTTTTTCATGAAAATTGTATACAGTTGAACCTCCATTGAGTATCCGCCAATTAAATGGCCAGTAATCTAAGTCCAATTTCGCTTGATTTCGCCCTTAACCTTCTTTTGTTTCAAAGTGAATATTCACAAACAGAACAAAGGTTTTTTAAATCGCATTTTCATTAATGGCACGAATAAATGTCAAGAACTTTATTGTAAGCTTTCTATCATTTTGTGACACCTTTTATATTTGATAAACATAAATATTGCATGGCTACATCAAATTAGTGCAAATTATTATCCTGAAAGGTAAGTTTTCTCATTTAAGTTTTATTTTGTCTCATTGCAACTGGCCTGTGTAAACTAAAATCATCTCTTTGGAAATACAGTTTGGTTAGTTTTACTTTTAACGAGTTTTGTTTTTTATGGACTTCAATGACTTCTATCAGAAAAATGTGAATATTTTTGGATTTGCACCGTTTTGTAAATTATTAAAAGAGAGAAGCTGTACTGAGCAGGGGAACAGCAGTAAAAGATAGATACTGGGAAAATCTTGACGTGGCAGCAGGGTGCAGATTTGAGTCACGAAAAAAGTATAAATCATGACGTTCAAATGGCAATACAATCAAAGCCCATTAATACGGACACTGAAGGAGCCATAGAAAGGGTCCGTATTAACAGGTGTCCATATTAAGTGGGTTAAATTTAGAGAAAATATAAGGGATTTCCCCTGGGATAAAGAAAACTGTCCTTAACAACGAGGTGTCCTGTTATCTAAGCGGGTGTCTATAAAGCGGGAAAAGGGGGTGTGACCTTAACGTGATACCACAGGATTTGATCCCCAGGGGGAGTACTCTGGATTTCAAGTGACGGGATGACCAAAGAATTTTTTTGATTCCAGGAGTTTTTTGGGTAGGAAAATTTGGCAGGTATTTTTTGGGTGGCTTGATTTTAGTAGGGATTTTTGGGGGTATTCAAAGCAATCTGAAGATTCATGGTAGTGCCCACATATCCCAGCTATGCGCTACAAACACAATTATTCAATTTTTAATTTATTTTTGGTGTTATATCATTATTTTAATGCTTTCTGGAAAATTTAAAGGCCGGGGAAATGAGCATGGGATTTTGGGGGGGTTAATTTTTGATCCAGGGATTTTTTGGGCTTTGTTGGAAGACCAAGGGATTTTGCCCCCCATTCGATCATCCCCGTCATTTGAAATCCGGGGTATCCCCCTGGGATCTGATCCACGTGCTCCCAACTTTAGCATTAGAAAAGTTGACAAACTTATTTCTAAATCAGTTCTGTGTCAAAACATCTTGCATCAAGCTGTTCTCTTCAAGTGCAAAATTCAGTTTTTATAGGACTTTCTTACTGCAAAGGGAGGTCAGAGTTTAGAATCAGATTCACTCTGATTTTCAAATTAGCATTAAAGCTGTTCATTGTAAGGATAAAGAATACTCATAACTAACAATTAGTTTCTGCATCAGACCAAAAAGTAACAAAATCAAGGCAATCATTTTTATTTGGCATTTTAATTTGGTCTCCTTGTACTACTCACAGTAAAACCAAGACAAATGATTAATTAAATCTTAATATAAAAGTTACATGTTACCTGTTACCATGATTTGGTGCTAACTCGTAAGTGGCTGGCATAGTGTTCACCAAGGCTTTTCAGTCTTGGTTTTCTTTTTCAACCATTGGAGTGACACAACCCTGATTAGGAGTTGAGGAAGAAAATTTTTTAACTGTAGTCTGATTTAGCTTACAGAGCTGATGTCTTATTGGGGGGAGGGTTAACGATTTGACTACTATAACTGAGGCCACCTAGACAAAGCTGACCAATTGGATTTAAGGAAAATAACAATACATTCCGACAAAGTTAGTTGTCAATCTTAATCTAAATAAACAGCATGGATAGAAATCAACCAATTACAACCTACAGATGTGACCTTTTGAACCCGCTGAAGAAAGCTGAAAGAGGTCTGTTAGAGCAGTGGATAACCAAGGCAAAACGCCTAACTTTCCAGTTAAATTTTTGACTTGAGGTCATGATGTTATTGCAAAGAGCCACAATGGTAGTGAAGAAATTGCTAGTAGATGACAAAAATAACAGCTTGTGTCAAACAAATGTGTCTCCTTGGTGTTACATGACTTGTTAAGTTTCAAAGGGAAAAACATTGTCTCATGAAACATTTTGCTTTCTTGACATCAATATTTAATTTGTGCTTTGAGTAACTTTTTTGTTTTTTTTTACGAGCTGCTGATTGCCCTGCAACTAACTTCATGGAATGTATTGTTATTTCCTGTAATCTGATTAGTCAACTTTGTCTAAGTGGCCCCCGTTACAATAGCTGCACTGTAGTTTGCCAGTGTTCAGGTGTAACTTAGGTCCTGTAACTCAAACCCCAAAAACTAACTTGAATACCTTCAGTCACACCAAAACCTGCAAATAAACCCGCTAGTCATCAAAAATGTCAGCTGTCTGGCATCTCTTCTCAGGACCCCCCACAGGTTAGGGGTGGAGACGCCTGACATTTCAGACTAACCTGGTGGTATCCTAGCCAGCTGAGTGCAGCATAAAATTAATATTCTACTTTGTCCGTCTCGCTTTAAATGTGACGGATATACAGGGGAAGATCTGTAGATTTTTTTTTGGCACTTTCACACCAATAATACACTTCGTTTGCACCCCATGTTTTTGCATATGTATGGTTTTCAGTTTCTCCTGGGTATTATAATCATCCTGAGAGAAAGGAAAAACAGTTCTCATGCTAAATTTTGAGGGGTAATCAGAGTTATTATGGGTGATGTGAAAGGAGTTAATTGACTTGGAGTCCGCATACTTGTGATCACTGTTAGAGCTCTTTTATACGCCAAATCATTTCCAGCCTTTTTTATGACTACTCTTTATTTCTGGTAGGCTAGCCTACACAGATCCTTAAATGAGATCCTTTAGTGGTAACAATTTCAACTTAAAGCAAATTGTCTTTAAACTAAGTAATGTCTGATGGGTTTGTTTAGGGGAGGGGGGTCAGAACCCGCTGTACTCTCTCTTTGGAGCCATCACATTCTACTTGACTAAGTAGCACTGAAAGTTGAAAGTTACAAGTTTAAATTCAGTAAGTAAATTAGATTTTTAAAAATAATCTGACCTATAAAGAGTTGTTGCTCTAATAAAATAATTTTATTTATTCCATTTTATCAATAAATAGATTACAGCTGCTTAGTACTCCTAACAATACACCGTGCCACTTCTGATACTGCCATTATTTGATGGTAGAATTTAATAAAATGTGTTTGTTTTTCAGCTTTTCCCCTACAGATAACAAGTTTGCCTCTTGTTCAGATGATGGCTTGGTAAAAATCTGGGATTTCTACCGATGCAGTGAGGAGAGAGTGCTAAGAGGTACAATGTAACCCTGAACCTGTGTAATCCTCTCCTTTACCATCTAGGGTCACTAAGGCCCAAAATCCGTCTTTGAAGAATAGTCCTACCAAAGTTCTATGAAAACGTGCGGATTAGCAAAGGATCTAAATTTCAGATTATTGTACACAATTCTTAAGACATTTTCATCCAGAAGATTAGGTGAGCTGTAAAGGGGAACAGGAGAATTCTTGGTGGAGGTGTGCTGCCTGGTTCTCCAAATCCTGACCCTATTTCAGACCAAAAAATGTCATTTTCCACACCTGTTTTCAGACCAGACTGGCTCTAAAATCCATACCCATTTTCAGACCTGGCCTTAAGCCAGAAATCATGTCATCATTTCTTAGATTAGAGTGTAAACAAAAATTTCTTCAAATGCATTTCAAATTCACATATTTCTTCTTTGTTCTTATTTATTTAATAAAGTTGGAACAACAATTACATTCATATACCTGCCAACTCTCACACCTTAGGCGTGAGTCTCACGCCTGTGGGTTGAAAACTTCGATCTCACGCCGGCTCATGCTTGCGGGCCATTAATTTCTCACGCCTGATTGAAAAATGTGAATTGTTGCCGTCTTGCTTAACACAATTTCCAAAAATGTGTTAACTCAGACCCATGTAAGGAACGAAAACCATGTGTAAAATGAATAAATGACAATACCTTCCTCGCGATCTCTGATTTTGTGGATAAGCGTTTTCTCGATAACTTCGCCTTCAGCAGACTTCGGACATCTTCGGAAGACTTCGGAGTTCTTCGGGAATCTTCGGAAATGATCGTGTCATCTTCAAAAATCCCAGCACTCCCAGGGTAAAAATATCACAGTTATGTCTCAGAAAAAGTTGGCAGGTATACATTCATACAGCCCTGTAGTTCCCTCGAAAACGATACCCTATTCCAGACCAAAATGGGCAAAGTGTTCACTGGTTTTCAGACCAAAAAGGACCAAAAACCCTACCCTTTGGGGCGGCACATACCTATATGACTTATATAAGGGAGTACACCCCCCCCCCCCGGCATTATAGAAGGAATCCATCAGGATTCAGTGGACAAAAACCTTGTGCCAGAATAATTTAAAGAATATAGCATTATTTTTTACATTTTTCAAGGGCTATAGATGTAACTAGTTGTCTGTAATAACACCAAAGAAAATTTCTAATGAGAGCCGAGAAAATAAGTGTCAAATTTAACAAAATGACATCTGCAGTTGAAATCTGTAGAATTTTCCCTGTGTTTTCACAATTCTTGTGAAAATTGGCATTTATTTTCTTGTGCCGCTATGAGAAATAGTCTTTGGTGCTATTACAGGTAACTATTATATATATAGTCCTTGAAAAATATAAAAGAGAATGTGATATTGTTTAAGTTATTCTGGTACAATGTTTTGTCCACTGAAAATTAAAATTGCTCAATTTCCTGATGGATTCCATCTTTAAATCACATTTAACAAAATGTGTTGGTTTTTTAACCATTCTTCTCATGGTTGCTTTACCAAAGTGTATGCACAATGTCAATGCCCTTTCATCATGGGGCGGGGGGCTAGTGTATGTTTCTAGTGTGCATTTAATGTTGTTTTGTGTATTGAGAAGAAAGGCTTGCCGTGGCGCAATTCCAGTTCCAACCCATATTTGTGTTGTTTGTCCCCATTTCAACTGTCTTATGTCACTGTTTTAAGGTACACATGTCAGAATTTTTCCCTATCAGGGCCTCAATATTGTGTCTGGGGTAATGCAGTCAAAACAAAATTCTTAATTTTTGCTTATTTTCAGGACATGGAGCTGATGTAAAATGTGTGGACTGGCACCCAACTAAGAGTCTTGTAGTGTCTGGTAGCAAGGACAGTCAACAGCCAATTAAACTCTGGGACCCTCGCACTGGCAGTGCACTGACAACCCTGTGAGTATCTTACTGGAACTAAATTTCAAAGGTGTTTGATTTTGTGTTTTTCATGATTATAAAATATAGCAAAATTAAACCCACACAAATCAAAATCCTTGCAAAATTTAAACATGTGAAATTTAATACCCATATTGAAAATTCAAATCACAGCAAAAAATGTTTAACAAATAATAAAAATAACTTGTATGGGATATGTGTTGGCAAATACACAAATTATTACTAAATGGTTTTACTGGTATCTCCCGTTGTTATAACGTTAATCTGCAAAGTTCCAGTTTATCTAAAAATTTTAAAAAGTGTAGACTTTTTGAGAAATATAAGGAAGTTGGAAACACTTCAATAGCAAAATTTAATGCCCTTTTTCACATCCCCCTCACCCCCCCCCCCCCCCCCCAAAATATTATCTTTCCAAAATTGCAACATTTCAGTAATTCTTACTCTGTCATTAAACACTAAACCCTTTCACTTTTTATGTTTGGGGAAGAAAACAATAATATTACAAAAGATATAACTTTCTTATATTTGTAAAATCCTAAGAAATTAACAGTATTATGCAAAAGCTCTGACAGAGATGATTCATTTGAATGATCACACCATAGGATTTCACTCACAGACTTAACGTTAAAACCTATACATACTAAAGTAATAACCATGTGAAAGTACTGCTGAAGAGGTTTCATTTCAATGGTAACACCATAGGATTTCATCCACAGACTCAAAAGTTAGAACCATGTACTAAATACCCTGGTAAATTATAGTAACTTGTGAAAGTACTGGTGAAGAGATTTCATGGAATGGTAACACTAAAGGATTTCATCTACAGACTCAAAAGTGAGAACTATGTACTAAATGCCTCGGTAAATAATAGTAACTTGTGAAAGTACTGCTGAAGAGATTTCATTTGAATGGTAACACAGTAGGATTTTGTCCACACACTTAATAGTCGAGTGACGAGTATTCTTCTCATAATGTTGCTCTTCTTACCCCTTTTACCCTAGGCATGCTCACAAGAGCACAGTTATGCAGATCAGATGGAACCAAAATGGAAACTGGCTATTAACTGCATCACGTGACCATCTATTAAAGCTGTTTGATATCCGTGCTATGAAAGAAATGCAAACATTCCGAGGTCACAAGAGGGAGGCTACGGGTAAGTCCAATTCACCCTTTAAAAAAGTGAAAATGGGGGGCAAATGGTCTATTTGAGTTAAACCTGAAATACCTATGGCCACCTCTTTTTTACAATGTCGCTGTTTTGTTCCTTCAATTTCTTACTCATTCACTTAAAATTGTCCCATTCCAGACCTCTCTATGGAAAGTTCAGTGACAACATTTTTTGGTAAATTTTATAGCCCCTTTAGCTTCATATGATTACTTTTTGGCATATTTCAGTTTCTCCAAGGAGGGGGCATTAGGAGTTTGTGCATTTGATCCGCATCAAGGATATTAACCTCCACTGAATCAACTGCTGCAACCCTTTTCCTTAGATTTCAAGTTGCCAGATATATGCAGTTAATGGGTAGCTAGAGAATGGAAAAGCTAGAAAGTTCTTCAGTTGGTTCTATTTTCCTTTTTGTTTCCCCATGAAAGTGGTCAGGGGTGAAGCTCAAAATTATAGCTGGGAATCAGCCCCAGCTGCAGCCCTTAGTGTCAGCTCTAGTTGATCCAATGCAGGTTTTGTTTATACCTTTAGTCACGTGCTTTTGCAGTCTTCATCAATTAATTTTGGTACATTTTTATGCGATGTTACATTTTCCTGTTTGTTTTTGCAGTTTTTAGACCCTCCTTATGCCGAGCCCTCTCCAAAGTTTTTTGTCACTGACTAGTGGAGAATAATCATCCCTTTTTCTGCGCCTCTCTTCCAGTCATACCCCTCACTTGAGAGTTCCACTTCTTAATAATTTGTATTTAGCTAGTAGTGAAGTTATGTTGCTTGGCATGTCAATTTAGTGTATTTGGTTTTTTTTGTAGCAATCAGCTGGCATCCTATTCATGAGTCATTGTTTGTAAGTGGTGGATCAGATGGTTCCATGATGTTCTGGGTTGTTGGGTGAGTACAGCATTCACAGTTGTAAAACAGGAAATCAGTGGTGGATCCAGGGAGAGGGTCTGGGGGATCCGGAACCCCCTCCCCCCATGAGACCTGATGCTTGTTTGAGACTGAAATTCTTACATGATTGAATGACAGGATCGTATATCGCTTTTTAACTGGCTGATTTTTTAGTGAAATGCACACTGCATTTTGCCACTAAACTAAATTTCAGGGATATTCAAAAATGTTTTTGGATACCCTCCTCTGATCTTGCAATGAAATAATCTTTTTCCAAGAGTTTGTAATGAAAACCAACTCCTTTGTACCTACTATTAGGGTTTGATTGATTTTGCTGGATGCTATAAATTAAAAGTGACATTTTCATTAGGACATGAATGATCTTCCCAGTCAGTTCTGACAAATGGAAAGTGCCCTAAGGCAACAGGGATGATTTTTTGCCTATTCAAACTGGCACTATTTGGGAATTACATGTTATTTTGTTTTGTTGTTTTATCATTTAAGTGCTGAGAAAGATGTAGGGAACATGGAGATGGCTCATGAAGGAATGGTCTGGAGTCTAGCATGGCATCCATTAGGTCACATACTGTGCTCTGGATCTAATGATCACTCCAGGTAGAACAGCTTATATTGTAGTGCAATCACACCACAAGTTATTCAAGTGGAAAAGCGATATATAGAGGTGCTAGAGCATGCATTGCTGGCATGTTCCTGGACTTAGCATTAAGTTAAGTTAAGTTTGCTAAGTCAGGAGCCTTTGATGCACATTATTTTCATATGGTAGTGGGTCTTTTGAGGCAGGGTGTACCCCCGGAGGTACTCAACAAATGTTTATACGGGAAGGCTCCGCCCTGAGGTCCAACCGTTTACCCTTCATATACTAATTTTCACGAAAAAGATACCCCTTTTGTATACTTTCTATTGTACCCCTTTCACTTACCTTGTTTAGAACTTTGCATCCCTTTTAACTGCTGTAAATGCACTGTCTTTTAAATAAGAATCAATCACAAAAATAGTATATTTTCTCCACTTTATAGAGGCATAAAATTCATCTGTTAGCCCTTCTGGGCTCTTTCACAGGCCCAAATGACAGATTTTCCTACCCTTTTTTATATTCTTCAACCAGTGAAATCCCTACCCTTTCATATACCTGAAGCCTGAAAAAGATACCCCCTTTGGGCGAAGCCTCCCCTTATGGCCATCATAGGGAGTACCCCCCCCCCCCAGCACGTACCACAGGTTTAGAAAGTTAACCATCATCATTTTATTAATTATATCACAGCTTGAACTTATTTTTATCATTGTCTTTTCATCTGACAGTAAATTTTGGACTCGTAATCGACTGGGTGACAGAATGAGGGATAAATACAATTTAAATATTCTGGACACAGAGGATGATGCTGGTAAGTCAACATTACATCGTGGAAGTGGCATCTCACTTATATCTCTTTCTTGGAGTTTTCATTGATGAGTTTGTCATTTGGAGTGTATGTATGTGGGAGTCAGGAGTTTAAAATTCATGTTCTCTGGATTACAGCTTTGTAACTTTAAGATTTATCAGTTTTGTAGAAAGATATCTTTCACAGTTAAAGAAGAGCGTGTTTTAATTTTATAGAAGGCCACATGCTAAAATAATAATATTATACTCTTCACTGTCACTTTTAAAATCCCATAAGACAAACTTTCTTTGAGAAAGATGCTGCTATTGTCTGTAAGTTAACTGCTTTTAACACAACAGCTCACCTATGGTAGACATCTTTGAGTCTCTGACCAGGAGAAAACCACCTTGGGTTAATAGACCTCTTAAGCTTGTATGTTTTCTCAGTGCAGTCCATGTGATCATACTCTAGAGAGCAGGTTCATTCTAATTTCATCTCTATCCCATGGGGGCGATTTGCACCTATGCATATCTATCCATGATTTATGAAAAGACAAAGGGGCAAACTTCCCTTAGACCTTCATTGGAAAAACAACACATACAAGCTAAAGAGATGTATTAATTTGGTGATGCAGGGTAATGGTGTTAATGCAATTTTATTGTTCTCAGATGGTGACCACCCTCCTGTTGTTAGTACAGCTATTCCAGGAATGGACACTACATTAAATCCAGCTGAAGATTTCCCAGACATTGATAGATATGACTTGGGAGAAAAAGGTTGGTCCAAATCAAAGTTAGCTATTGTGTGAAAGAGGAAGTCAGTGACCTTACAACATAAATGACTTTGCAAAAAACTGCAGCAAGCGATTTTTTAACGGAGAGAGGGAGATATAATCTCTTTTAAGAGCTTGGAAAATGCAGACTCACTTAGGGAGCATATCCTTTGTGAGAGAAGCAAATAGCAATATTTTTTGTGCTAATCTGTACCTGGGCTCAGAATAAAGCTTCTCGTTTTACATATGAAACAAGGACGGAAGTTACCTGCTTGTGCAAGATTGATTACTAATCTTGGGCACTAGTTTTTTTTTTTTAATTCTTACTAACTTATGTACTGAATTTCGTATTAATAAGGTAAAGGAGAGTGGTGTACTTATTTTTTTACACTTCCTGTTACCTCTTCTCCCTTTCTACAGGGCCATCGCTTGGATTTGGTAATTTACCAGCTAAAAAGACCACTCCTATTCTTCCAAGGCAGTTAGAATCACAAAATCCTGGATTCACTCTTCCTAACTTCAAATCCAGTCCTTCAATTCCAGGATTAGGGTCTCTGGGGGAAATAAACTCGGCTGCTGAAAATGGGAATTCAATGCTTCGACCAGATGCCCCTCCTTTTCAACCGGGGAGGCCCGGTGAAAGGAACCACAAAGGGCCTTTTGATCCCCCTGCTCCTCAAAGACTTTTACAGCCTAATAACTTTAAGCAAGAACCAGGACAAAGGCCTTTTGATGGTCCTCAGAGGGATCCATTTGGTCATGGGCAACTCCGAGGGGATGGCAGAAGGCCAGGACCAGGGAGAGACTCTTGGGATGAGCGCCGGGGCCCTCCTGGCGATTTTAAACCTCCAAGCTGGCATGACCAGGGCCCTAACAATCTTGGACGTGGGAGAGATTTCAGGGGCCCACCCGGGGATAGGTTTAATGGACCTCAGGGAATCTTGGGTTCCCCACCAAGGAACCTAGAAATAGACTCACGGCCTGGATTGCTTGGACCTGCACCACAGCAACCCCAGCAACTTATGCAGGGATCTGGTGGACCACAGGCCGGCCCTAACTCACAAGGTGGTGCTCCAAGGGGAGATGACTTCCCTTTTCAAGGTATGTGGATTACCACCAATGCTATTGGTTGAGGAAAGTGCCAGTTTCTTTAACAGCCGTAAAACGTCCGAGTTTCAATGCTTTTGGTCTGTTCAAGTCATTTCAAGTGATGTGAAACCTTTGGTGCTCATTTGGGCCCCAGTTTGCCTCTCTTCTTTCACCTCTTAGTCTGTGATGTTTTATGCAACCAAACTTCCTTACTTCTTCACTTCACTTTCACCTGAAAATGAAAGGATCACTACGAATGCTAAACAGACAGACCCAACTATGCGTCTCACTCGAACAGCAGCCAGTTATAAACTGAAGTGAACTTTTACCAAAATTCCAATTTGATTTTCATGATTTACTTTGAATGGACCAGGTCCTTGTGTTTTTATACATTTGTAACGGTTGGGTCTTTTCATTTCTAAAGTGTAGTTTAAACAGCAATAATTTTCGTGGAACACAGATCCCTTCAATAACATCTTGCCCTGTCTTTTTTAAAGGTTCTGCGCCTAACAAGGATCCCAGGCTTGACCAGGGGCCATGGCGACCACCGCCCAATGAACGTGAAGAGAACAGGAATGAATTGTCGCCGAGATTTGACATGGGAGATAATAACCAACGACATCCTCATGATCTAAGTTCAAGAGGATTTCGAAGAGGTCCCTCGAGGGGTCGTGGTCATGACTCGCCTCCTCATCATGGTCCCGATATGCAAGGGTCCAATCCAGGAGGCCATCATCCATTTATTCACAACCTTTCGTCGAGAGGTTTCAAGAGTAATAACCCAGGAAGAAATGAAAATAGAGACCCGCGCTGGGGAGGACCTCCAGATGAGCCGCCACAAGGCCGAAGGCCTGATGAACAACATGGTTAGAGAATCCTTCGCGTTTCTTTTGTACAAGTTGTGTTTCTTGGCATGGCCTGCGAGCTAGCTCTCCTATTTGAGCAAGCGAAGCGAGCCTCGCGAGAACGCGCGAGCGAGGGGCCGAGGAAAGGAGGCTCCCGCTCCCTCGCGCGTTCTCGCGAGACTCGTTTCACTCGCCCAAATATTAGAGCTTGCTCGCAGGCAATTCTTGGCATCGCTGTTGCAGATAGCTGTTCTTGCTAGTTCCTGAAATTGTAGTTTTTAATAGGTCGGCGCGGAATGAATGAATACTTGTAGTATGTACAAAATGCTCCTTTATAGGTATGGAGAAGATATCCAAAAAAATAATCAGGGCGCACTAACCGTAATAATGCAAAAGGGGCACACAACGACTGTTTCCTCCTAAATACATTGAAACACTTTCTCTAGGAATGCATTCTAAGCGGCCCTATAAAATTTGTATCTGTTCTGTCATCCTAGGGGAACTTGAGTCTTTTCTAAATTTAAGGGCCTCAGTATTATTTTCCCGAAAATTTTAGATGCAATTTAACGTATTACGAAAGTAAGGATTTTTCTGATTCCTCTCCCCATCACAGTTTTGAATCCGAAAATCTTAGGTTTCCTTTTTGCTACCAAAAAAACCCTAACCTGAACAGTCAAATGTGAAAAATTGATCTTCAGAAGATTGTAGGGAATTAATTAGATATAAGATGGAATGGGATGGTCATCTAGAAATTTTTAGCTGTCCTCAAGTAATGGAAAATTCTAGGCAATATTTGGTTCTCCGAACAGATATTTTACGGAAAACAGTCGTTGGGTGCCCGCGATAATATCTCAGTGATTTTTGCAGATACAGCATTTAAGCTTGAAAAAGTTAGCCCGGTTTTTTCAAAGTTTCATTATACGTCTATTCTTATCATCCATAGCAACAGACGACAAGAAACAGGTTCAATGCCTAAATATACTATTTTAAAAATAGCAAAATTGGACCATTATCTTGGAAATCAATTTTAGCTTTTTAGAAAGATAGCAAATAGCCAGACAAATTAGCTCCTTTAAGATGCAGTTTACCCGTATATACGAGTACGGGCGCGGGTAATCAACCGTTCACGTTAACTGAGCGGTGTCTCTTAAGGTCTCGATAAGTTAGTCTAATGTGCTTGTTGAGAAAATGGCTTTCTAGAGGCAAGAAGCTTTGTCACGTAACTCTTTTACTAGGAGAGGCTTCGTAAGAGTTGAGCCACACTATACAGCATCTGCAATCTCTGTTTTGAACTTCATTCAGGTCTCTTCGAAAGGCGTGATAGCTGGGGAACACCTCAACACCCCCATGATCCTCGAGGGCCACCACCGAGAGACGAACCACGTGATCCACGCATGATGAGAGGCCCAGGCCCGCCGCCGCCACCTGAAACAAACGAGAATAAACCAGCTATACGTCCCCTAATGAGTCTCAGTCCCCCGCCGCTGCCTATAGGACAGGCAGGGTTTGATTTCGGTCTTGATGATGATTCATGGAAAGGGACTCCTGACAGGCGAGGCAGGAAGCGGTCAGGGGAACAAGAGGGATTTAGGGACGGTGACAGGGGGCCTCCTAAGGCTATACGACCCGAAGATGACTGGAGACGGGGGCCAGGTAAGAACTTAATACAAGTTAGGGGAACTTTCCACCCCTTAGCTCCTGTACAACCACCCCTCCTCTCTTCCCCCATTTTTTTTTTTTGAGGGAAGGGGGGATGCTGAACACTGCCTATAAACCTTCAACCTTTCAAACAATTTATAATCGATTTAAATTTCACTGAAAGAGATTATGATGTCATTTCCGACAGTCATAGTGAACGCAGCTAATTCAGTAAAGCCCTCGAAAACCTTAGAATGTACAGAAACATTGTTAATAGCTCAAGTTCGTATCAATCGATCTTTCTAACACAAATGTGACAACTAATTACGGACACGTAAATGAGAACGTGGTACAAAACCGCCATGCTAGAGAGCAAAAGTCGCACTGGGACAAGACAAACAAGGGAAATTACCATTTAAAGTTATGTATGCCTTTTGTCTCAGTGTCTGGTCGCGGTGCGACTTTTGCTCTCCAGCATGGCGGTTTTGTACCACGTGAATGGCCTATTAAAATGCAGAGGGTCGTACAATGGGAAAAAGAACTTGCTCGATCCCGAGGGGAAAAGGTTTTGTTTTCCGTGGTGATATGGCAGCCACTGTTACTTTATTCATTTCGACTTCTTTCAAAGTTCCACTTAGGAGTATTGATCGTGGGTTTGTCTCTCTTTTTCTATCTGATAGATCAAGGTCCCCCGGAAGGTTGGAGAGGACCAGAGGATAATTTTGAAGATGGGCCCTGGCATGACGATGAAAGAGGGCCCTACCCACCAGGAGACAGCCCCATGAGGGGGAGAGGAAAACCACGAGGAGGGAGGAGAGGGCGGGGAGTAAGGAGATGACATCAGCCGTTCCCTTCTCGCCGATGTGGAAAATTATCCTATTCAGTTGGGATAAGTAATGTCCCGCAGATGCCTACAGGAATACATACAAGCCATAAGCATATGCATGCATTATTGCGTTGCATCTTACGCAATCTTCAAGTATTTAGGAAAACGTGAAGAGACACTGTGTTTCCTGCGAAGACGTTTTCGTCGTCAGTGGTCACATGATAGAACCTTTAGATTCTAAGACGAGAACGAGTACGAGTACGAGATTTTGTCGTTATTCTACTACGATTTTTAGCGAAAATGTCGTGTTGGCGGAAGCGAACGGTCAAATGTTTGGAGGTTTGTTATTTTGCGATCGTGAGAGGGCTTAACCTCCTTCAATAAAAATACCGTAAAATTCCGAAAATAAGCCCTCCTTGTATAAGCCCCTCCAAGTATAAGCCCCCCAAACTCGTAACGCCAAAAACCCTCCGTTACATGGCCCCTTCGAATATAAGCCCCCCCGGGGGGGGGGGGCTTGTACTTGGAAATTGCCCTCAAATACAAAGTAAAAAAAAGCAGAAACGGTAAATTTTCTTCCAACTAAAAGCTAGCCCAATCAATTTTGAAACGCAAATTTCCCTCCGTACATGAGCCCCTCCGAATATAAGCCCCTCAAAAAGGGCCTTTGAAATATATAAGCCCCGGGGCTTATTTTCGGAATTTTACGGTATCGGTGCTGACTTTTTTTTGGGGGGGGGGGGAAGCACAATGAAACTTTTCGTTGTGCATATTTTTCAACAATACGCGAAAAAAAATTTAGTTAAATTTTTGTACCCGTACTCGTCCTCATCTTTGACTCTAAAGGTCTCTATTAACTGTGAACGGTACTGGACCACGTGGAGGTCCTATGTGCCACCTCTCAGTTTGAACAATTATGCCATAAAAAAAACTATAGTCATTTTACATTAATTAAGTTTTGATATTGTAAATTATTTGTATCTTGGTTGCAGTTTGCCATCGCATATGTCTGGTTTTCTTGGTTTTTTAACAGCCTCATAACGTTTTGTTTTCAAGGCTTTTATTTCAGCTACAGCATGGTTGATAAAAAAAATTGTGTTCATCTTTTCTCGGAAAGGACAGCGCGGAAAGATATTTGGGGACCTGGATAGAAGGGTATCTTGAAGTCTACTTGGAAAATATCAAATCTGCCTATTCTAGGTAGTTTCTCGGTGATGTGGGGGGTATTGATCACTACATGCCGTAATATTAAGAAAATAGGCCATTTCCGAGTTCCCCCGGGCCTCTGTTTCAAAACGAGGGTAGGTGCGCAGCCTTTGATATGGAAATCATTTTTCATTCTCATGCAAATAAAACTCATTTTCACTAGAAAGGTTATGCACCTAGCCTCATTTTGAAAGTGAGGGTTTTTGGAACTCGGAAGTGGCCTATTGAAAAGACACTTCACAATAACCTGAAAACCCAGAGTACAACACAAGGGCAGTGATTTATTACCAATTAAGACTGGTGAAACTTGATTTTAAGTTGTATTCTTTTGCGAGGAACAGTTAAGGAACTAACATGTCACCGCTTTGGTTATATTATAGAGTGTGTTCCGCAATAGGCCACTTCCAAGTTCCAAATCACCTCACTGTCAAAATAAGGCGAAGTGCACAACTCGTCTCGGGAAAATGAGTTTTATTTACATGAGATTGAAAATTTATTCCCATATCAAAGGCTGAGCACGTAACCTCGTTTTGATACAGAGTTCCGGGGGAACTCGGAAATGGCCTTTTATTTCTGGTGTCGTTGGTGGGGACACGGCGGTCAGCTATTGGCCATTCCCTCGTTCCCTGATTATACTCCCAGAATTCTTTTCGAAATTACACCCGCCCAGTTTCTCGTCTCTTCTAAAAGTGACGAGTTATGATGGGAAGTTTCCACAACACCAAGAAAACCCCCGTTTTTACAGTAAAACCTAGTGATGAGAATTTGTTGTGCATCATAATAGGACTACTACATTGTATTCAGCCGGGGGAGAATGTGGTATCCTCCTATACTCGAGTGAACGCAGACACAGAAAGTGGGTGATAATCGGGGCAAACACCGATACAACTGAGAAGTTTTTGTGTCATAAAGGCTGGAGCATTTTGAGATAAATGTATATTTTTGCTTTCTCTGATTGTTATTTCCTCTTCCGGTTATAATTTTTTTAAGTGTTACTCAACGCTTTTTTTGTTGTAGTGGTTAAAATGGGCCAAAATTTAGACCTGTAGCAGGTGTTAAGGGTCACTCTAATCTTGTATAATGATCTTCTGCGGCCCAAGGTTAGACACGGTGAGTTCTTGGCACGAAATTAGACGGGACATTTACCTCCTTTCCGTCACCCCTTGAACTCCCTTCGGTCTCGCGTTCCGTTCTTCGCGTGCGATCCAAATAGAGATGTGTTGGCAGCACATTCTTGACTAGAGTTATAGACAGAGAGAAGGTGGCGCATATTTTACCCGTGAAGGTGTATCGCTTAGGTTTAGGCGCAAAGAAATACCTCTAGAACGCCAAGACCGGCCTCCTTTAGTACTGGCAATTCTTATTTTCAGACGATCATTCCCGTCATTTTTTATGCCACTAGTATGAGAGCCCACCACTTTTCCCGTTCCCGGTACAAAAGCTTTCGTAGTTCCATTGTAAAAATTGGTTTACCCAAGTCACTATTTTTCCCTGTCGTACGGAAGGTCCACACCTATTATTCTGCTTGCTGTCTAGCAAGTAATCGTCTTAGGAGAATAAAACTCTTTTTTGTCGGGTGAACAAGGCCATTTAACCGAATATAATTTTAACTTCAAAATACAAGGCAAATATTTTTGTCACTTTTGTTTAGTTGTGTAAACACCAAGGAGTGCAAGGAACCGTAGCGACGTTAGTTATTTCTAACATCAGAAAAAAAAAGGAAAATTTGCGCCGGGCAGTCCGATCCCACGTCGCGAGACGCGCAATCTTGCAAGTGATGAAGATACTGTATATTTGTGATGCACCTGCAGAAAGTTGTTTTGCTAATCCAAACGTGCTGCTTTGTTTAATATCCTTACGTAGGGTACCCTGTGACCGGCTTTCCGGTGACTCAAATGGTAGCGGCCGTCGCGCAGAGAAAACAAGCCAAAAAGCGATTATAACACGCGCGATGTAGGGAAGGGGACGGTGGCGGGTAAAAAAAAAAAAGGTAAGTGGGAGTCCTCCCTAGCCCTCTCGCGTTTTTTACATAGTTTTTCACTGCAAGACAGCACTATTATCTTATTATTATCTTGGACCTGGAGAGCTTATAATTAGGGTGTTTAGGGCGGAAATCTGTTAATGATTTTTTAAGCAAGCGGGTACCGTCCGGGGCTGTTCTTCAAGGACTTAGAAAGGCACAACAGAAACAGAAAGAAAGGATTCCACGACAACTTATGTAACGGCAACCAGGTTTGTACAGATTTAGGTGTAAATTAGCCAAACCTACTCCCTATCCTATTGAGCTTGTCACAAAATTAGGCATTATAATAGAGAGCTTTAGATTCTAAGACGAGAACGAGAATTTCTAAATACTAAATAGTGCGCGCGCGCGAACCAACGTTATTTTGGCGAGAAAAATTGATAGCCACGTTCATTTTACTTTAAATGTCGTAGTGGCGAAAACAAGTTATCAAATGGTAGGACTGGTACGAATTTTATCATTTAGCTATCAGGAGAGGGTATTACCTCCTTCGACGGAAAGTAAGCGTCCTAACTTCTGTGGTGAAAAAAAAGGGACGATAAAGGTTTCCCGGGGTGTCTATTTCTTAGAGAATGGATGAGAAAAATGAAAACTATAAAATGTCATCCTCGCCCTCAAATCTAAAGCTCTCTATTAACCTGCGATAAAGCGGTGTTTTCCGAAAAAATAAAGGAAAGGAAAAAAGAACACCTGATCACAAATTCGCATTATGTGTGCTTTCTTTTTGTCAAACCGACCGATTATAAACCAGACCTAATCACTGGAACAAAGCCACGACGACATCAATCGAACAAAGTTTTAAACGGATAGAATCGAGATAGAAGCTTTCCTTTTATGTCTTGACCAAAATATTACGGACTTTTAGATTCAACGGCGCGACGACAACGAGAAGATCGCTTAAAAAGTGAATTTGTGTTCTTTCAGTCTTTATAGCGATTATTCCTACCCACTTACTTTGTCAAATGTCAATGTAGGCGAACCCTCCTGAAGATGAACTTCAAGTGACCTTATCCAAGCTTAGAAAGAGTAATTAAAGTTCGTCGTTGCTTGTTTACATCCTCCATAAAACGCGAAATAAGGCATTTTCACGTCGTAGTCGTGCAAAAACGGGAAAGAAATGTACAAAAAAGTGTGATGCACGTGCGAAGTAGCCTGAAATTCATCCGATTGCTTCGAGTCGTTTTCTCCTCTCAACAACCAAGTTACTGAGGGAGTAACAACGACTCGAAGTAATCGGATGAAATTCAGGCTACGTGCGAAGTTGTTGTTTTGCTTATTAAACCAATTGTTTTTTTGACCTTCTCGTTGCCGTCGTCGTCGTTGGATCTTAAAGTCCCTACTGATTACAGTCAAACCCCGCTTTACCATGGACACTGACTTTATGCGGACACCCCCGGCCCGTTAATACGGACTTCTTCTATATGGCCCCCAGTGTCCATACTACAGTCAAACCTGTATTAAGTGGACCTCTATTAAGTGGTCACTTACCAAAGTCAGTCCCGGAAATCATTTCCGTTAATTACTGTAAAACCGATCTGTATTAAGCGGTCACCCGTACTAAGCGGTTGCACTCGCCTTTTCGGAGGTCCCAGTGAATTATTTTTATTGTCTTTACAATTGTACCTACATTAAAGACATTAAACGATCATTTTGAGAAGACGTACCACAATAGTGCAACAAGTCGCACTGTGCAAGGCGTCAAGTGGTCTTTAACTTTTTTCTTTTGGCCCAAGAAAAGGTAGAAACATGAGGAGGTCAATTTGTCGTGGGGTAGTTAAGCGGTCATTAAGCCATTCCCAAGGGGTGACTGCTTAATACTGGTTTGACTGTACTTCTCATTCTGTAGTGCGTCTTTTTTAAATTTATTCAAAGACCCTAGTGAGACCCGTCCGACCGGTTAGACTGACCAGCTCTGGAGACGTACCACGTTTTTCCGGGCGGAAAAGTCTGAGACCAACATTTCCGGTTATTTTGGCACAATAGCAATCACCCTCTCAGAAAGCGTTGGCATCGGTGACGGCACCAGTAATGAGAACGGCAAAAAAAAAAGGAAACGTAAACAAACAAACAAAAAACACACAAATGAAACACAAAACAAAATTAATTCAAAGTAGACAGACTGCAAATTATAGTAGTTGCTAAAAAATATGTCTACGTCATCTACGTGCCCCAACTGTTCATCTGTAGGATGCCTAAAACGTTAATAGCCTGTGTATCAGTTGTTTCGGCTTCATTTATGCAAAACGGGAGAAGTGCGAGAGACTCACGAAGGCGAGCCAAAAAGTAAAAGAAGCTTCAATTTTTTTCCTTGCCCTCGCCTCACCCGTCTCCCGCGCTTCTCTCGCTTGGGTAAAAGGAACGGAAAAGAGTCGAATCCACGGACACAAGAACAACAACAACTCTGCACTTTGATACATCGTACTTGTTTGTACATTTTCCTACCTTCACTGCACTTGTGTGACACAGAACTTTGTAATTGTAAGTTTTATGCAAGACGTGAACCAAATACAACGACTTCCTCTACCCTTTCTTTACTTAGTTAGCCCTGATACAGTTCCCTAGAACTTAGCCCCAGGGTTATGGTATGGGTTTCTAGCCCCAGAAAAGAGTCGCCAAAATTGGGAAATTCAACTTTGTGGAATAGTTCACTTTGTAACCTTACTCTGATTTTACTGCTTATAGTGGGCAAACAGGGCATGCTATTGGTGTAGATTCATGCAATTTATTACTAGTACTGTCATAAAAGCATTTTTTTTGGGTCAATTTCAGCAAGATGGACAGCTTAGATCATGCAGAAGCAGGAGCCTATGTAGACTACGAGTAGTCCCCATTTTTCCTCAGCGAAAGAAGAGCGAGCGAAACGCGGGCGCGCGATTTTCTCTCTCACCGCCCCGCCTCACCTCTCTCGCGTGGGGTGATTTTCACGCGCGCTTGCGTTTCGCTCGCTCTACTATCCATGAGGAAAATGGGAACTACTCTTACTCTAGAGTCTATGAAGTCTATGACCCTAGTGATGCAAAAGAGCTTAGTGCCAGGCTCCTGGTAGATGACAACTTTCCACGTTCCAGGCGGAAATATCTCAAAACAGGAGCCGGTTTAATCGGCTCCTGCTCAGAATACCAACTTCTTCACTTATTAACATGTGGCGTTCATAGCACGGCCCATGCGTTCTGATTGTGGCGATGGCGAGAGGGGAGGAAAAACTGAACGTAACCACGAGGGAAGGGGTAACCTGGGTGGCAGGAGCAAAAAGGGAAGGGGGAGGGGGAAGGGAGAAACCTTCTCTCCCCAATCCTCCTCTTTTTTCCCTTCCTCCCTATCCCCTACCCGTTTCGACGCCTGCTACGCAGGCTAGGGGAGGGGTAGAGAGTGGGACCCTATCCTTCTTAGCCTGCCTGGTCGGCGTTGAAAGGGGAAGGGGAAGGGGGAATTTGGGCGCCCGCGAGAGAGAAAGGAAAGGAACTCCTCTTCTCCTCCTCCCTCCTCCCTCGCGCGTGATCTCGCGCCTTAATTCCCTTCCCCTTCCCTTTCGAACGCCTGCCACGCAGGCTATATCCTTCTCTTTCTCCTTATTTTTCCACGCTCTTCTAACGTGGTGTAGCCTGCGAACCGCGGACGTATTTCCGGTCGTTGGTTCTCTTCCTCTCGGTGGGCGAAACTAGAAACTAAAGCCGAAAAAACCGGATGCTTTCGCAGGCTAAACCTGGTGCTACACTCCACCGGCTACTGTCGACTAGATTGTCCACTGTCTGCCGAGATTCAAAAGCCTGGAACAGGCTTTCGTGTTTAGATCATCGCGGCTTTTTTAATTGTTTGCATATGGTAATCAACTGAACTGAACCGAGAACCATCTCTTAAGTACGAGCTACAGGAACGCAGCGAGGATTTTTCAGGTTCTACGCACAA